GGGGATGAAGAGTGTTTGGTTTGGGGAACTCAGAATTACATTCACTGCCCAGTGTGAAGCACTCAGTAACAGAGTCAGTACCTCCAAGTCCCAGGCCATAGCTCTCGACTGGAAAACAGTGGATTACGAAATCTTTGTTGTGAGTAAATTACTGCCTCAAGCAATGGAGTTGAAACTTTTGGTGTTTGGTTGACCCATGAAGGTGAAATGTATCATAAGAAAGAAAGACATTTGTGGAGAGTCTTTCTCTACTGTTGATGTTACTTCTGAGCCATTGTTGAGAAGAAGGAGCTGATCTGTAAAGGCACAGCTCTTCGATTCTCTGGCTGATCCAACTCTCTCCCATGGCCTTGAGCACATCATGAGTTTATACGACTGGCCTACCATAGGGAGAGTTGACTGAGAAATAGACAGCAAACTGGACTTTTGAACACTTTTATATAAGGCAGAGCGAAACAGGAACAGTGGGGAAAGGGAGCTGTGCAACTCCAATACAAGCTCAAGAAATCCAATGGTGGACTGCAGACAGAGGGGTTTTTCTGAACTTTGACTCTGTTGATAAACACCTGATGGAGGCCTATGAAACATTCCCCCTGGAACTGGATAAACCCAGAGCTGACAGAACTACAAACCACCACTCTACTGAAGGTCAATATCCCTGTATCTTTGTGTATGTGTGTGTGTGTGTGTGTGTGTGTGTGTGTGTGTGTGTGTGTATGGGTTTGTTTGTACATAATTTGACACGTGTCTGTGTGCAGCACATAGAGAAAAAAGGGAGAGAAATGAAGACTGTGTGCAAGACATGTTACTGGTTAACCTGAATAAAAGTAGTGACCAGCGTTCAGCGGTTTCATAACTAGCAGGTCACTACTTCTTCAACAACAGCTATTTTCTTCATCAAGTAACTGTTTATTTATTTCTTTATATAATCTGGTCCAAAAAAAAAAACAACATCCAAAAAGTTTGAATGTTGTTTAAGAGCTAAACTTATATCCGCTTAATTTTCTATAGAATACAACAAGTAAAGCAAGTGTTTCTCACAATGAAGACACAATAATATAAATAATGTTTAAAAAAAAAACTTCAGTACATTTTTACTAGATAATGAATACTACCAGAATGATCTCTGCTGACTGAGTTTATGTCAGCTTGTTTCACTGGATACATGTCTGAACCTAATGTCTGCTATAAGCCATAGCTTCTTTGTGAAGACTGACCAAAGACTAGCAAAAACAAGAGGTTTTTTTTTCCCTTGTTATGTGATCTTCAAATATTAGTCCACATCATCTAGTAGCTTTGATCAAGCTCCACACATTACATCAGTGTTGTGTCTCAGGACTAACAGTGATGTTAGCATTTGGACAGAGTGTCACAACCTTTTCTCTTCAGGCCTTTTCAGTTAACTCAAACTTGAAAGGCACATACGTTTGAATAATTGTGTGTGTTACGCAACAAAGATGTTCTGGTCTATTTAACTCATCCTGGTACCTTCTTTTATGAGGTGCACTCTAATTTGCTCCACAAACAAAGAACAGCTGGTTTGGGAATAAGTGAATGTTTAACTTAGATAGACTGAATATAATGAGAGATACAAATACATATCATAAGATTTCTCTTGCCCCCATCGTTCCAGAAGTGACTATCATAAACCCATGCCATCCCTATTGATCTGTGTTGCACAATGTCCAGACAAACATGTGGCAATTACAAATTGGCACAGACATGAAATCCTCCCATATTCACCCAGCAGTATAAAGCTGGTGAGGAGCAACTTTCTGCACTCTTCGGGCTAAAAAAGGGGTTCACTGTTACCAAGTGCTGCAACCGAAACTGGGAAAAAGAGATGGCACCTGGAAAAAAGGTAAAAAATACCTCTCTGCAGATACATACTAGCCTTATGTGTAGGGCTTTAAGAATATCTACTGAAGTTTAGAGTTGTCGTATTTGCTGTTGGACTGTGGTGTTGTAAGAAAGTTGTAAGTGTAAGTGTTGTAAGTGCCTTTTATCTTTGCACCTTTGCACCTCAATTGCCGCATCCCTCATGTTGTCACACAAAGAATAATGTCATATTCATTGCACACATTGCCGTTAGTCAATACTACATTGGAGCTGCAGAATTTGTGTACTGTAAACTTTATTTGAAAGACTTTTCACTTCAGTTAAGTTGAGTCAAGTTGCTCTGTTTTTTATAGACTTATTAGATGATCCATCAGCCATATTATAAACCTCTCATAGAAGATGGTCATATGCTGCTCCCACAGGGGATCCTTGAGCGTCTGAATGCTGGGGAGGTGGTGATCGGTGATGGAGGCTTTGTGTTTGCACTGGAGAAGAGGGGGTATGTAAAGGCCGGGCCATGGACTCCAGAGTCTGCTGTCACACACCCTGAGGCTGGTAAGACAGGCAGACAGCAAACACATAGATTGTATCCAAAAGTACATTAAGTTCATGTTGAGTCCACAAACTCAAAAGCAACATGTCTTCCCTTAACATTTTAAAATGTTTCTGTCAGTGCGTCAGCTGCACAGAGAGTTCCTGAGAGCAGGTGCTAACGTCATGCAGACCTTCACTTTCTACGCCAGTGATGACAAACTGGAGAACAGGGGTCAGAACCTGAAACTCACTGTGAGTGCCCAACTAACGCACTTTAAACCCAACATACACAAGTTTCTGAAGATCTTCAATAAATCCATACCCGTCTTCACTTGTTCAGGGGGTTCAAATCAACGAGGCGGCCTGTGACCTGGCAAGAGAAGTAGCAAACGAAGGCGACGCTCTGGTAGCAGGAGGAGTGTGTCAGACTCCTTCCTACCTGAGCTGCAAGAGTGAGACAGAGGTGAAGGCCATCTTTAAGAAGCAGCTGGATGTTTTCCTGAAGAAGAATGTGGACTTCCTGATCGCTGAGGTGGATTCACGTTGTATTTTATTTTGTGAAGTCATATTAATTCCACATTAATCCAAATATATGATTTGTGGAGCATATATACGTGCCCAGTGGTGAGAGGGTTGTGGATTTTTTTCTTCAGTACTTTGAGCATGTGGAGGAGGCTGAGTGGGCCGTAAAGGTGCTGAAGACCAGCGGAAAGCCGGTGGCTGCTTGTATGTGCATCGGACCAGATGGAGACATGCACGGTATCTCACCTGGAGAGTGTGCTGTCCGGCTGGTGAAGGCTGGTACGTATTTAACAAACGGCAACCACCAGTGTAAAGAAATTAAACCAATGTGGCTGTGCCGAAAAAAAAAAAAATCACTTGAGGCTGGCTTTAACAAACAAAGCATCCCTATAAGGTTAAAACTGCCCATCTGAAATAAACATGTTTACAGTTTCACATAAAACAGTTGTGGACCCAACCTCATTTCTTTATGTCTAAGTTATTTATTTTTTTAGCTTAATACTTTGTGTGTAAAAACTGTATGGGAGTTGAGTTTATTTTTAACTAATCTGTTTTGTTCCAAAGTTAGGTGATTAGGTGATTCCAAAATTTCCTCTTCAGCATCCAATGTGTGACGTCACTGAAACTACATACATTTTTTAAACAGTCTATTGTATTTTTATCTGCTTTACCTCAAGATTCGTGGTTTACGTTTTTTTGCTACATCAATAACTGTATCACTCTGTTTTGCAGGTGCCCAGATCGTGGGAGTCAACTGCCACTTTGACCCCATGACCTGCGTGAAAGCTGTCAAGATGATGAAGGAGGGAGTGGAGAAGGCCGGGTTGAAGGCTCACTACATGGTGCAACCCCTGGCTTACCACACACCTGACTGCAGCTGTCAGGGATTCATTGATCTTCCAGAATTCCCTTTTGGTATGTAAGGATGTGTTTCACATGAATATTGAAATAAAATAGTGACAGACATGCAAAGGGCTGTTGCTCACATGTTGTCTCAATTTCTTTTTCTTATGCTCTCAGCCCTGGAGCCCAGGATCCTGACCCGCTGGGACATGCACAAGTACGCCAGGGAGGCGTACAAGAGTGGCATCCGCTTCATTGGGGGATGCTGTGGGTTTGAGCCTTATCACATCAGGGCTGTGGCAGAGGAGCTGGCACCAGAGAGAGGGATAATGCCCCCTGGATCAGAAAAACATGGCATGTGGGGTGCTGGTCTGGAGATGCACACAAAGCCCTGGGTCAGAGCCAGGTAAAGAATCCTAAATATGAAACAAACAACAAAAAAAGGTAAAGATAATGTTGCACCTTCTTTCTTTGTGTGACCTGTCTTTTTTTTCCCCTCCTAGGTCCCGTCGTGAGTATTGGGAGAATCTCTCGCCTGCATCCGGACGTCCCAAATGCCCCTCCCTGTCCACACCAGAGGGCTGGGGTGTAACCAAGGGCCATTCTGATCTCATGCAGCACAAAGAGGCCACCAGCTCCCAGGAAATGAAGCACCTGCTAGAGATGCAGAAGAAGGCCAAGTCCACTGCATGAGCGAGTCGGAGCAAGAAAAGCTAAGGCACCCATCCCTTCAGTCGGGCAACTAAAGAAGGGATCCGGGGGAAGACTTTCCCAGTTCAGTTTGGAGATTTAAAGCACTTGTAACAGCGATGCTCCGGTGATGGAGTATTACTATGTAAACCCCAAAAACAATAAACCTCAGTTTGTTACTGAATTTGATGAGTATGTGTTGTAAATGTTCTGCAACAACCACAAACCATTCAAAGGGAATTTTGTGTCTTCACTAATGGATAAATGTAATCAAACATTCACTTATGCATTGATTCAGAAGTGATTTGATCCTTTTTAGTTCCACTATCAAGTTTATGAATCTGTCTATTCAAGGTCCAAAAAAAAAAAAGTAACCCACAAACAAACAGGAAGAGGGTCAAACTCACCGACAACCATAATTAATCTGGATCCAACCAGTAGCAAAAACCCACAATACTCTCATTCAGTGAGAGAGGGGAGGTGAGGGAGTGAACATTGCAGTTGTATAACTCGCTTCTTGCCAATCAGCATGTCTCTTCCTCAGACCCCTCCCCTACTTCAGAGAGATTTATAGTGGCCCTCTGCTCCACTCTAATGTTGCTTCAGTTTCTCAAAGTCTGAGCAGTCAGGGGTCCACACAGCTGCAGGATTATGGCACAAGGAAAGAAGGTATGTGTGGAGTTTTGTGAAAAGAAGCGGTATGCTATCTGGACTTTGCTGTGAAATATATCCACCTTATGAATTATCATAACTTGTAGTTTTGTAGAATGTAGAATTGTAGTGGCAGGATGCTAAGTTTTTAAAGATGCATCAGCTCCAAACTCTATGAGCTCATTGGAATATAAAAGTAATTAAGTGTAACAGGTGAAGCAAATTTACAAACAGTTTTTCTTATTATCCACACATTTCCTAACCATGCAAAAAGATGTGGCTTTTTTGGCCCAGGTTTTGAGATATTTGAGGCTGAGAGTTTTTCATCCATCCCAATGCACAGGACGCAAATAGATATTAAGTATTAGAAAAAAAGAATTAGAATGTATGTTTTGCATATTTCATTATGAAATGCTTTCAAAAATATGAAAACTATTAGATTTGCATCATAAGGAAACAAGCTTCAAAGTTTTTAATTTGAAAGACTGATTATTTTTGCATAGAGACCTCGTCTTAAATCCGACTCTCGGTGGAGAAACCTTGAGAGGAGGTTCATGCCAGGTGGAGATTTTCTCACACTCAAAAAGTCTGTCAATAAAAAAACAACATTATAAATATCCAGTTCTAGTGCAGATTGATGAGACCTATCACAGTAATTTGTCAGTTTAACCATTTTAAACTTAAAGATTGAATTTAGATATATTCATTTAAGACTGAGATAAGTTAAATGCTTAGATAAAGTTAAACGTTACTCTTTGACCAGCAGGCGTTTTAAAATCAAGGGGTGCAGGTCAAAATATGAAAACTATTAGATTGCATCATAAGGAAACAAGCTTCAAAGTTTTTATTTGAAAGACTGATTATTTTTGCATAGAGACCTCGTCTTAAATCCGACTCTCGGTGGAGAAACCTTGAGAGGAGGTTCATGCGGTGGAGATTTTTCACACTCAAAAAGTCTGTCAATAAAAAAACAACATTATAAATATCGTTTAGTGAGATTGATGAGACCTATCACAGTAATTTGTCAGTTTAACCATTTTAAACTTAAAGATTGAATTTAGATATATTCATTTAAGACTGAGATAAGTTAAATGCTTAGATAAAGTTAAACGTTACTCTTTGACCAGCAGGCGTTTTAAAATCAAGGGGTGCAGGTCAATAAGTCATTCTGAGCATTGCAGCTGTTCTCAGACATGTGTTGCTGTCTTGATGACTCTGAGTCAATGGAAGAAGCAGTTGGGGGGGGGGGGGGGGTTGGGGTGTGGCACTGGACTTGGGAAGTCACAATGCACGAGGTGTAGATACAAATTTGAACTCGTTTCTTCATTCTTCTGTCTTCTAATTCTTCTAATAATATTGAGCTTGTATTGATGCATTATCACAGGGAGTGTTGGAGCGTCTTGACGCTGGAGAGGTTGTGATTGGTGATGGAGGCTTCGTGTTTGCCCTGGAGAAGAGAGGCTACGTGAAGGCCGGGCCCTGGACGCCTGAAGCTGCCTCAGAGCACCCTGAAGCAGGTAAGAACAAGCTGTGCGACTACTCGTATTTTACTAGCAAAAATGGCTTCTTCGCTATCCTCTGCGTGGTGATTCTTGCAGCACACCTTGTTGTTGTGGTGTTGCAGAGGGATTTCCTTGTATGTTTACCTGTGTTATGTGGGGTTTTTTTTTCAGTGCGTCAGCTGCACAGAGAGTTCCTGAGGGCTGGGTCTAATGTCATGCAGACCTTCACCTTCTATGCCAGTGATGACAAACTGGAGAACAGGGGCAACAAGCTCACCTTCACTGTGAGTAGCAGTGCAAAGAAAAGAGACGTGCAATTCCCTCATCAATGCATTTTAAGCACAAAGATATCATTAAATAAGCGATGTTCGTAGGAATATCCGATAAACTGGAAGTCATATTTTTCCTGATATTCTCTCACTTGTTCAACAGGTTTGCGAGATTTGTTTTTCATGTTTTATGTTTTGTCTCTATTCTGCAGGGAGCTCAGATCAACGAGGCCGCCTGCGACTTGGCCCGTGAGGTTGCCAATGAAGGCGACGCTCTGGTAGCAGGTGGAGTGTGTCAGACTCCTTCCTACCTGAGCTGCAAGAGCGAGACAGAGGTGAAGGCCATCTTTAAGAAGCAGCTGGACGTGTTCATCAGGAAAGACGTGGACTTCCTGATTGCTGAGGTAGAGATTGAAAACTTAAATTTAACAACAGAGGCCACTGAGTTCATTCCTTTTTCTTTTCTTTTTTTCTCGTGTATGTTTGACTGAAGTTATTTTTATCTGTGTCTTGCAGTACTTTGAGCATGTTGAAGAGGCCGTGTGGGCTGTGGAGGCGCTGAAGGAGACAGGGAAACCTGTCTAATAATTGTTCTGCTGAGTCACTAAAATGTTGTCTATACAAGGCAATCAGTCAATTCAACTAACCGAACTGCAAACCACAGTTTGTGCTCTTTCGGTGCTTATCTGTATCAGTCAGCTCACACCAATGCATGCTCTCCTGTAGGTGCCCAGATCGTGGGAGTCAACTGTCACTTTGACCCCATGACCTGCGTGAAAGCTGTCAAGATGATGAAGGAGGGAGTGGAGAAGGCCGGGTTGAAGGCTCACTACATGGTGCAGCCATTGGCTTACCACACACCCGACTGCAGCTGTCAGGGATTCATCGATCTGCCAGAATTCCCCTTCGGTAATCATATACTGTGTTGTATTTAAACATCAAACATTGAAACATGCAGCCTTAAGTGCTTCACATATAGAACAAACATGTAGAAAATAATTGACAATAGTAGATACAATTTTGAGTAAAAGTTAAAAGAGTATAAACAATAAAATGTTAGAAATTAACTAATTAAAATCATTAAGAAAAGTTGAATAAGATAAGATAAACACTAGGGATAAAGCTTCATCAACAACAACAAAGAGAGAGAGAGATTAACATTTGACTTTTTGTTAGATAATCGATAAAGTCCAAACTACAAAATACACTTCAAATCAAGTCACAGTTTAGAATATTAAGAATGAATCTTCCTTCAGGTCTGGAGCCCAGGATCCTGACCCGCTGGGACATGCACAAGTACGCCAGGGAGGCCTTCAATGCTGGCATCCGCTTCATCGGGGGCTGCTGTGGGTTTGAGCCTTATCACATCAGGGCTGTGGCAGAGGAGCTGGCAACAGAGAGAGGCTGCCTCCCCGCTGCATCAGAGAAACATGGAAACTGGGGTGCTGGTCTGGAGATGCACACCAAGCCCTGGGTCAGAGCCAGGTCAGAAGCAACTTTTGATTTGTCAATAAACACCAAAAATACACACCAAACTTAGTCATACAAACAACTGTCTTTAGCACCAGCATGTCGTAATATGTGTTTTCTGGTCTTTTTGTCTCTTGCAGAGCCCGCCGTGACTACTGGGAAACCCTGAAGCCAGCCTCTGGTCGTCCCCTGTGTCCCTCCCTTTCTCTCCCTGATGGCTGGGGTGTCACCAAGGGCCACACTGATCTTTTGCAGCAGAAAGAGGCCACCTCTAAGGACCAACTCAAGCAGCTGTTCGACAGAACAAAGAACCAGTGAGCCAGTCTGTCTCCTTCAGACTGAGTCAAACAGCCATGCAGTGCAGCTACTAATGCTACACAGAGGTGTGCACTGTCTGCATACTGAGCTGCACCTAACAAACATAATGTTAGAGGCTAAATCTTCACTTGAGACTGCATCTGTTCTGTGCATGTGTTGATGGTTAAACTGTAGTTTATGAGAAGCCAGTCATGTTTCAAGTGAAGAGTCGGCCCATCTTGAGGTCGGGACCTTTTTACTTTCCATGGACCAGTTTGTTTAATAAAATAAGATCTGAAAAAATGTGATCATTTGATTGTTGGTATATTTCTTGTGTGGATGGGTGTCTGGATGGTGTTGTGGAGGTTAAAGGTGTTTTCTATCTCTGCTCTATAATTTTCTCTGTGGAGAAAAGATTACCATTGGGCCATGTACACTGTAAAGAATATTTTCTGGAGAAACTTAGCAATACACTACAATAAGCAAATATAATAAAGACTTGAACATTTTGAAATAGAGCATCAATGCAATGAGCTACAGCCTGACCTTAAATTACCAATCCTTTATAATTGAGCTCTGCAGCTGGTATTATTGTGAACAGCATATTTGGACTGCATGAATAACATGCAACTGGCTCTCACAATCTCCAAAACATAATATCATGTATGCCATTAGAATGAAACCCATTGTTGTTCAAGGTTTCGAGATTTTATTTTATGAAAGGCTGTTTTTATATATTTTATACTTTACTTTATATTTTATTTCAGACCCGTAGGTCCATATGGAAAGGGATGATACACCCTTTAATCCAGCAGATGGCCCTGTTCACATACTATGACCAGTATTCTTGACATTGGCTACAAAGATCCTTACAAGTAAAGATGCTCCACCAGCTAGCAGTTACGAAAACAAGCTACGACTACGTAAACAGTTTCTTTTGGTGTTTTATTAATTGACTCCACTTAACAACCCACATGCTCTTGATCTTTCTCTGTTCATAGTTTTGTACCCTCTATTAAAGGGGCACTATTATAAAATACGCTTCTTTTGCAAATGTGTCTATTGGGGCAATAACGAATTAAACATTGGCCTATAAATAGTAATGTTCCCCTCATTCTGATTTAGTTGCGTATTATTTTGTTGGTTCATTCATTGTCTATCCGGAAAATCCATCAATTTATTTTAAAGATGCAATATGTGTGTATGTGTTTAGTGCAGCATCGAGAGTTTCGTGCATTAGATTTATTTAAAGAGGTGGATGTACATTTTATTTTGGTGACACATCTTCAGTCACAAAAGATCTCTGTTGGTTCCTCGTCTTTTGGATTGGACAAGTCTTGACCACATGACCAGGATATCTGTTATCTGTTTTTTTACAAGGTGGAGTGGATTTAAGGATAGTGGGGGTATGATATCTGCCTTTGCCTAGCACAGAAGTCTTGTTTTGAAATGTTCTATTATCTCACAGGAAATACTATTTCTTAATAATTGATTTAAAAGGAATAAATGCATTTAGGTGCTGTCCTCGACCTCGAATTGTTTTGCTTAGCAGCGGATTAAGGTCTTTTATTTCTCTGTTTGTGTGTGCCCTTTTGTGACAGGAGGCTAACTTAAGGCTGGAGTATGGCCTGAACATTTACCATTAAAGGACACTCACTGGGACAAGCACATCTGTCGACCGCCGACAGAAACAGGTAACGACTTTTAAGTAAGATTTAGCAAAAAATGTCATATATTTAATTAACTAACCTTATAAAGTCTTGTACACACGTGTTTTGCAGATTAATAATACCTGCTGTGTTATTTAAATTGTTATTATTATTATTATTATTGTTATTTAAACTGGTGTCGTTCATTTGTATGTGATGAGATGTATGTCCCCCCCCCACACACACACACTGCACCATAACCAGCATCCTCTGGACCGCTTTTTTTATGCTATAGACTTTACTGTGTAGAATAACAATGGCGCCATCTGGTGGTGTCTTTCAGTAACTACAAGGAGCTTTTTTTTTCTTTTTTTTTTTCAATACCGGAAGGAAACGTGAGGTCGTCATGGGGAGCAAAGTCAGCTCCAAAATGGCAGCTCCGACAGCCCGAGTTATCCAGGTAACTTTGCTCTTTACATGTTTTAATAACTCCAGCTACAGTCGTGATGAGATATGATGAATGTCGGAGGGTAAACAATGTCGCCTCCCTATTTTGTTTCCGATGACGTAAAGGAGTAAGGCACCTGGGTGTGTCACAGCTTTAAAACAGGAGTTACCCTTGTTGATGTCCTTGTTTCACCGGAAGCCACACAGGAATGCGATGTGTTTTTATTTTTATTCAGAAATCAGCGAAACATGTATTTTACAAACTAAGTGAATGTCCATCGTCTGTTCATGAGGTCGTTAACGTTACCCAAAGCTAAATTTAACAAAGCTGCAGGAAAAGAAACACACAGTCGACATCAGCCATTCAATCAGTGTTTACATATTTCTGTCAAATATTTCGGGTTAATATAGTAATTTTCATTGTAGATTTGAGCAGCCTGTAGAAAATGTAAACAATGTTTGTGTGGATTACGTCTTCACAATGAATTTTAATAATCCATTAATCATTTTGAATGCTTTGAGTCTCGAGCTGTGTGACAGTTGTCTTTGAGTGTGTCTTAAACCAAAGTTATGTCTTAAAATGTTACTTGTTTTTGTTTTTTTCAGTCCAAAAAATATATTAAATTTGCTTTAATAGTTAATATTAATTAATAATATAAAAAAAAAGCAGAAAAGTGTATCTTTAAAAGCTTATTGTGTGTCTAAAAACTATGTATGTATGTTTCACCTGATGTTATCTTATAAAGCATAATTAATTCAGTTTGTTTCTAAGTTTTTTTGATGGTTTAATAATAATAATAATAATTTATCCTTTATTAATCCCACAAGGGGAAATTCAGTTTTACTCTCTGTCTAATGAACATGAACACAAACATGCACAAACAGGATCCTATGGACATGCACTGATGGAGAGGTCTCAGAGTGCTCAGGAGGTGGACTGGCTCCTCTCCAGCCATCAGACCAATTTCCAGACTTGGTCCTTGCCGGCGACCCTTTAATGGTTAACTGTTGTCACTCTGGTGCTTTCTTTGTTTTTACTGTTGAACTGGTCAACAGTGATGTGCTTTTTGATGAATATGATAAAGTTTCATGTGTCAGTTACCCGGGTGACCATGCTGACACGTCCCGAAGAATGTTAAACCTGTCCACGCTCTGTTGTAAAATATCCTGAGAAAAGTTTGGTGTAAAGAAAACTTGCTTTTACATTATCAGTTTTATACACTTTGAACACCACAAACAGAGAAAATAAAATAACCTTCATGGCTTAAAACCCTTTTGAGGAACGAGGGAAATCTGTTTTCTTTGGTTTTGGGGGTAAACTGACCCTTAAACATCACACAATACTCCATTTCACACAGCTGTTTAATTTAAGTGTGTGTTGCAGGCGATTCGGCCTCACGCTCCTCTGATCAAGTTCCCCAAAAGACAAGACCTCCCAAAGCCCAATGGTAAGTATGAAGAAAGTCAATGATTCACATATGATGACCTAAATAAAGAAAAGACCTCTGGGTGATGAAACTGGAAGACCTTTGTCCTATTGTTTCATGTCCACATCTCAAATGTCAAGTTAATGTATCCAAAAACTGGAGATACACAACTTACTTTAGCAACTGCTTCTCTCAGTCTCAATAATGGAATCTTTTTCCTCCTCCTTCCAGCCCAAGAAGCATTGAAGTCAATAGCAGTAAATTTAGCACCGCACAACGCTCAAGCCTCCCCTCCAGCTGCAGCACCCCCTCAGATATCAAGATCTCATGTACCTTTGACCCCAGTACCTGGCACGCCGGACACCCTGGCCTCTATTCAGCTACTCACTGCGAGGTACCGCAGGAGGCCGCTGACAGAAAACGAAATGGAATTCATCCAGGTGAGAGGTCAAAAGTGCATCTCAAGATTAAACACAGAACATTTTACTGACACGGCAACCTGTTCAAAGCAAAAATGAAGGGCTGGATGTTGTAAGGTGGAGAATGGCGAAACGTTTTTTGACGTCTCATTTGGTATCAGTTAGGAGATAACCTTCGTCCTTGGTGGAAGATAAACCTGCATAGTCAGCTTTGGCCTTAAAACGGTTCCAGATTCTAACAGTCGCCTTGGAGCTGTAGGTAAAGTTCAACTGTTTTGTAAGAAGGGGAGGTGGCAGGTCAGGTGGCAGGTCAGGTGGCAGGTCAGGTGGCAGGTCAGGTGGCAGGTCAGGTGGTCAGGTGGCAGGTCAGGTGGCAGGTCAGGTGGCAGGTCAGGTGGCAGGTCAGGCAAGACATGACTTAAATAAGACACTAAGGAAATCCAAGATGGCGGACGAAGCGACAAAGTCTGTACCTAAACAGTTTTTTCCCTCACATCAGTGCTCTGTGTAATCACACATATTCACAGTATCAACCAAAGACTGTGACACTTCTTTTTTGTGTACATGTGCACCAGTCAAGATGGAAAGGACATTTCTTCCTCCTGTGCAGCCATTCTGAATTTTCCTGAACATTTTGCCCCCCCCCCAACACTGCACAGAAATGTTACTATTTTTCAACCAATCAGAGTTATTTAATGACATATGGTGCAGTTTTGTCCTCAGACGGTACAAACAAATGTGTTCAAAATCAATTTATAGACTTTTTATTCGAGGCACACATTCGCGTCCCATTAAAAACGGTTCTGTGACCCACTTTTGGGTCTAAACTATGCATCCTAATCATCTCAACATTTCAAATCTTGTTACAAAAACAGTTATCCAGAATTAAATTGGACGAGTTCATGTGCTATGTCATATATTTCCTGTTGGTAGATGAAAGCTTCTGTTTACTGATCTGTTTCCTGTGTTGTCTCTTTGCTGCAGCGCGGTGGACCAGAGTAACGAGACACGACTCACTGCAGCCAAAGTCCTTTTCAGTTGGAGATCCGTATGTGTTTCATTCTGTTCCTCAGCACAGAGAACCTAATGCCACATGAGACATGATGTAGAATAAACTATTACAGAAATCCTGTTAAAATGCTACTATATGTTTATTTTTACACGTTAATGTATTTTAAGTTTGTACTTAAGGGACGTCTTTATTCTGTTACAGAAGTCGTAAGAAACTAAATTAGCCTCCCAGTTTTTCCCAGATTGACTTTACTGTAGTATAATTATTCTTCAAAGATCTGTCTTGGGGTTAACTTCTGGTTTCATGTTCTGGTAACCTTCACATATTGAGATTTTAAATTGGTTTGAGTTTCTCTTTTAGAACCACAACACCCGCAACTAATGAATGATTGAGGTAAATTATTGCTTTATTGTCACATCTTTTCCTGCAATAAACTGCCAACACTATCGAGGTATATCAATTCACAAGGGCACGTAGCAAAGATGGTGTCGACTTTATGTGAACTACTGCATTTAAAATATTAAAAGAGAATTGTCTTTTGATTGTGGTGTTCATATCGTGCTGAATGAAGATGCAGAATAAACGGACAACGAGAAGAAGAAAGAAAGAAACATGAAGGTTGAAGTTTTAGTTGTTTATTGTTGATACCGTTGCTGGCATGCTTTATATGGTAAACATTACAACATTGAAGTTCCACAACAGTGCAGAATGACCAGCCACCATTAATGTGTCACTACCTTTCTAACTATGGGATTTACTAAGCTGTTTCGTACTTCGATGAATAATCGGCACACGTAGTACAGACATGACAGAAAGGCCATAAGTGAATACACACTTCACCTCTCTGACTGGCAGATTGTCCTCTTAGTTTCTACCAGAGCTGACAAGAGCTCGCACAGTGTTTTTGTTCTTCTCTTAATGAAGGAGAAGTCACACTCAGGCTAACACTTAAGAAAACAGTTGTGCGTTTTTGAAGTACATGTCTCTAAGTCTGCCTTTCGGCAAAGATTTAAGCAACCTGCTCCTAAACACATGAATGCTGTCACGGAGCAATTCATGGCTTTACAAAAATACCTCTGGATGTTGAAAACCCAATACCAAACATGAAGGTGCAGTATACTCATTGATAGAAACACTTACAGCAACAAGGAACTTTCAAGACACAAATGAGCACAACACAAGAAGAAACACTGAGGTATGCACTGGATTAATTACTACAAGGACGCATCTCGGTCACAACATGAACAGCGCCTTGATATTCGGGAGCATTCAAAGTTTTTGTGTCAAAGTGTCGGTTTGGGACTTTTTTTTTTTTTTTGCAAATGGCAGACTAAACATTGCACTTGAAATGAAGTAGAAGCAACCAGGAGGCGAAGGACTGGTCAATTGCTCTGTTCGTCTAGTTCCTCAAACGCAGGTAAGAAATCAGCGATGGTGTCGACCACGTAGTCGGGCACCAGGTTGTGGTTGGTGGTGACCTCACTATTCCTGTACTGCTGGGCGTCCTCTATCTGAGACACACCGGTGAGGGTGAGCATGGTGTCGAGGCCGCAGTTGAAACCAAACAGCATGTCTACCTCCAGGCGGTCCCCGATCATCAGGCACTGCGCGGGATCCACCCCCCTGAACTGACTGGAGATGCACTCGAACATGAAGCGGCTGGGTTTGCCGATCACTGTGGCCTTCCTGCCCGAGGCCACCTCCAAGGCTGCAGTGAGGGATCCGGAGCCTGCCCCGGATAAAGATAAGAGCAAGGTTAGATTTAAGTTGATCCAAGCAGACATCCTCTCCACAAACCCTTTCATGTCAGTAGCAGTAATGTGAAACTTGTCACTGCAGCAGCAGTTCCACTGATTTCTATTTATTTCAGTAACATGAGAATCAAATTGCAGGTTCTTGAACTGGTGGGAAAAACTGGAGGTCGTACAATAAGGCCTCACACTTCCACAGGACGGTGAATGACTCACATTAACTGTGTGTAAATTATTCAAAAAAAAAGATTAAAAGCAAACTATACGGCCAAAGATTTGAGAAACTCGCTTTATCTTAAATGTTTGTGGGAGAACTTTAGTCTTTATTTGACATTGGCAGATCTGGGATGGCGAGGCTGGACTTGAACCAAGGCCAATTCAATCATAGCTGAGCGTCTTAAGACCCCTTGGAAACCCTAATCGACCAATCTTAAGGCTTTATGGAAGATAGAATATTGTATAATAATACCTGAAAAAATTCCCAAAGCGGAGGCGAGTAGGAAACCAGAATTAACACTGGACTGGTTGGTGAGCGTACGGTTTAGGCTGTGAATAAGGAAGCTTCTACCCTTCACAACAGAAGAGCAAGACAAGTGGCAATCGTTTTTGTCCACACGACTATCAAACTATTCACCTATTCTTGGTTAATTCGTGGAGGTGAACACAGATGGTGACTTTTTTTGTTTATGGACCAGAAAGGGGAGTTAAGAAGCAGGACTTCATAAGATAATCTTTGATTTGTTAACTGCAGCAGAACTACTGTCAAACCTCAATAGTTTTACTGAAGGTCATGTATTCAATGTTATTTGATGCTGTATAATGAACTAAATGAGAAATGCTCATAAAGGGACACCTTAGGGACACCTTAGGGACACCTTAGATTACTGAGCATGCACTGTGGTCCCGTGCAAACATCAATCCATGGTTGAAACTCATTTCACCAAACGGGCGTGTTACACTAGAACTTCACTGTCACCATATTACCTGGGAGTATCCGTCCACCTGACAGGGGATGCCAGGGGTCGTTGTCGGTGGCCAGGAACAGACAGTCCGGGTCCTTCAGGTAGCACGAGGCTTTAGCCAGTTTGAGAAAAGTCAGTTTGTCATCATGTCCCACCAGCACCGCTTTAACATCCGGAGCCAGGTCGCAGTTGTAGATGGTCGCGTCCGGCTCGTCCGCCTCCTCCACACAGGGGATGCCCGCCTCCTGCAGCTCTCTGCGCAGTCCGTCGCAGCCCATGACGAACACCTGGCCGTGGACCTTGACGACGTCTCTCAGGTAGAGAGCCGAGCAGTACGACGAGCTGAAGATCTGCTCCAGTATCACGTCGGTGAAGCCCAGCCGGTAGAACTTGTGCACATAATTCTCCCTGGGCCTGGTGCAGTTGTTGGTGACGAACACTACGTTTTTTCCGTTCCGTATCAACGAATTCACCACCTTCACCGCCCCGGTTATCGCCTTCTCTCCGTGCCACAGGACCCCGTCGCAGTCGAAGAGGATGAAGTCCTTCGCCTCCAGCAGATTTCTCAGCTGCGGACCTCGAATTTTCTGGCAGCCTTTGAAGCCAAAGGCGCCCGCCATCCCGGCTTTTTCCTCGGTTTCCTCCGTGTTTCACCTTCTATTTTCCCCCCATGTGAAAGGCTGGTGCATAATGTGGTGGGGGAAAAAACGGCGGGTTAGCGATATGAAAACAAATCAATGTCAAGAAATCACATTGCACAGACCTTGGTTACATACGCGGAAAGCGAGCTACAAAAACATTGACGTTAGGTCACGCCCACACCGTCAACACTGACCAATTAGAAGAACAGCATCTCGACCAATCACATTTGTGTGTGTCATGGTTATTTAATGAGCAAATCAACAAATTACATTGCCGCCCCCCCCCCTCGTTACAGCTGACACTTTAAAAAGACATATTCTTTAAAAAAAGTTCAACTTTAATAAAAAAGAAATGTGGCTTTTGTGTAGCATTCTTGTATAGTTAGCCATATGTATGAATTGCATATCTTTGTCACTTCATCATACACTTTTAGTCACTGCAGCGTGCTAAAACTAAATCACTCAAACAAATTACTTCAGTAAATGAAACCATAACAAAGATTTTCAGAGGTGTTTGCACAATTTAATCCATTATAAAAAATGTACCAAACCAAGTGTCTTTTTTAGAGTAATGTCTAATGTACAAAAGTACATAATACCATTTTAAATAAAGCAGAATAAAATAGTATGTTTGCACAAACTGTCGCTTTTAAACATTGGTATGCCTATGCCAGTTTATTAGCTTCAACTTTTGCTCTTAGTACTTTTACAATGAGAACCTTTTGTCCAGGAAGTTTTGCTTTTCTTAGGCAAGAAGTCCATCTTGTAGTCTCTTTATCAGGTCACTAGATGGGGCACTTTCCCACAAACAGCAAATACATTACATTCAGTACACTAGTGTGTTAACATCTTTAACACCAACTAATAGAAAAGTTTCCATAAGATCCATCAGATTAATGTATCACTCTTTACACTTGACATTGTACTGATCCAATCTTTTGACACTCAATCATTGAACTTATTACAACTAACTCCAAAGTAACAAGCATTGTGTTATGACTCTAACGCCATGAGATCAACTCTTAATGCCAGCTCCAACATTCTACCTAAGTGTACACAAACAACTTCAAAATAAGACATCAGATGTCAACGTTTAAAAAAAGAAACTTTTAAAACATTAACATTATCTGCCACTTGCTCCATTTTATTTTTAAAATAAATATATTTGTTTATGTCACTGAGAAGTAATAATTATGTGGTTATCATTTAGAAAAAAATGTATTTTAACTTTTCACTGCAAGAAACCCAAAGTTTGTTCAGAGTTGTTAGATTTATATTTTTTTAATAAGATAGACTATAACTCAGATTTAAACCGACTGTTAATTAGATGGAATCCAGTCCAGGTTAAAAGTGCCAAAAGCGGCACATTGTAGTACCCAGTATTCTCCATCTATTTTTTATGGCTATTGTTTCTTTCTGCTTTGTAGTTCTTGTTGTTGTTGTTGTCCTTGTGTTGATTTCATTGGGCCATCATTTGCTTCATTAAGTCTGTTTTTTTTTTTCCTTTTCTTTCCAGTGTCATGCTGTAGCTGCTCAGACTGCCTCTTTTGGATTGCGTGCGAGACAGAGGAAGACTCACTGGCACCTGCAACTGCCAGACAAACAGACATGTGAAACTCAAGGATGGAATGGACAGCTGAATGGACAGAGAACAAGGCATCCTAATTGGTCATTATTTCCTTGCTAATCTATATTTTCCTCCCTGCTAACCCCCAACACAGATGTGAGGAAGGGGAGGGTGGGATAGGGGGGGGTCCGCTAAGGCCTGGTCTGCTCCAAACAGAGGCTGGAGCGCTGACCGTGAACATTGCTGTGTGCTTTTGTGTCTTGTTTAGAGAGGGGAAGGAGACTCAGTGGAAACCAGCACAGGAGGGAGTGGGGGTCAGAGTTGAGATTTGCAGGTGGTGCTGGTGGTTAATAACTGAAGAGCCAGTAGACCAGAACACGGCCCAAAACAGAAACACACACACACACACGTGCAGGAACTAACCTTGAAGGTAGAACAGATTTAAGAGAACTCAGGTATATTCATTGACTGTCAACATACTTTGTCACACACACACACACACACACACACATACTCTAACATACAAGTGAGACAAGCATAGCCGCACTCTAAAACATTCTCAACCTTCATTCATCTACACTAACATGGCTTGCTGCCATTTGGAAATATGCAACAACACAAAAGAGCCGCTTAGTTGGGGGGTGCGTGTTTGCGTGCGTACTGTCTAACACCCCTGCTTGCAGCACAGCCAGGTCAAAGCAGCACAGAGGTGTTGGACAATGTGGCGCTGTGGTACAAATTAGACGTCTGGTAGACATGGTGGCGCTTGGAGGGTGAAGGGCATAACACTTGGCATGAGGGCTATTTCCCTTAAGTCAGGTTTTTAACACGGAAAGTGGAACACAATAAAGTACTCGATGTAAGACCTTTTAATGTTTAATTCTGCTTTGTATTACTTTGCAGCTTTGCTTGTGACAGATGCAGAGACTTTTCTGAAAAAAAACTTTTAAAAGTTGTATTTCTGCAGCTTTTTATTTTCTATCATATTAGTGGTAAAGAAAACAAGAAGCCCAAGAAGAACAAGTTTCAAAGAACTGAGTTATGGATCTGAGCTGAAGTGAAGAGGAAGTGTTTAGTGTTGCTACTTCGTCTTTTTGTGTTCATCCCTGATGTTCTTGTTCCTACACAAAGTCCAGCAGAGCACTACAGGTCCAAGAAGCCCCAAAGAGAGAAGGAGCATCAAGTCAAACTGGTATCTCTGGTACCATTGTTGCTCTAGGGATGCTGGCCTTAGATGTTTTCCCCCTCCAGTGTGCAGGATGTGCTCCACCCACTGGACCAGTCGAAGAGCTGGAGGGACCGGATGGGATTTGTGGATCCTGCTAAGGGTCAAAGCTGAAGACTTGAACCTAGAAAAATGAAATGATGAGAGAAAACTTTGAAATAATCAGAGGAGTGTATCAACACATGTCTGTCCTCAAGTGCTTTTATAAAGTCATAGCCCCTTCTTACCCTTTGTCCTGTATTAATGTGCAAATAGTGGTGCTGAGCAGCTCTCTGGTGACGTATGTGGGGTTGATGGCGAGGCCAAGTCCCTTTGTTTCAGCCCTCACAACATTATCAAACTGGTCCCCAAACAGAGGGATTGCCAGCACTGGAACAGCATGGTACACTGCCTGGAGCAGGCTGTTCTGTCCACCATGGGTGATAAACAGAAGTGTTTTTTTGTGTCCTGGGGTAAACAGAACAATAGAGGAAAATGTCATTGCTTAATGAATGAAGACAGAGCAATGGTTGGTCTTTTGGGGTCAGGGTTTAAATAAAGTAGATAAAAAACACCACATAAAGCATGTTAACAAGGGGATGCTGCATGGGGATGCACACACATTATCTTCATGAGCATGCTGCAGCCTATATGTTACAAGGCAGATAAAGTAACAACACAGGGTAAAGGCATGTCTGTGATCACTCCCATTTGTATGTTGCTCTGTTTATACTTCTAGATTAGATAATATGTCTATCTGACAATAAAAGCAAGAACTTGAACAGTAACAGTTTCTTCAAATATTTAGCAGTGTCTAGTGCTGCAGTGCAGCAGAGTCACTGTGTCCTTCTGCTGCAGTTTTCTATCCCTCTATCCCTTAACCCCCAGTGTCTGACAGGAGTCTATCCTGAAATAACAAGGTTAAGAGAGGCAGACTGTTCCTACCCAGCAGGTCATTAAGAGGCAGCCAGTCCACCAGCCTGAGGTTGGGAGGTCTGTCCAGCTGAGATGGCCATCGTTTTTGGTCGTACCTACAAGCAAAATGCAGCAAGTTTCGAACTTCCCTTTATGTCTTTAGATTAACTGAAAATAAGAATTTATTTTAAACAAATTACTACTTCTTAACATACTGGAGAAAATTTTATAGCTTACAATTTTCCGTTTCTGTATATACGGAAAATCATTTTGTGTGACACAGATTGTTAGGATTGTGTTATCCTTGAATGAACTGTGTCTTGCTTACCTCCAGAGAACCCCCTGTGGGATCCTGGAGAAGCCAGCTACCAGCTCCTCCAGTAGAAGGTCCACAGATACTGAAGAGACCATTGATCCCAGTGTGACGACAATAAAACCTGACTCTCCAAAACTGGAGATCCACAACTCAAGATCCTGAGGGAGCAAAAGGGTATGGGCAGGAGGAAATATGTGGAGGAAAGTGTTGTTTTTAGTATTGCAGGATTAGACAAACTTGGTTTAAAAAAAAAAAAAAAAAAAGAAGGCAGGAGGAGACATTCAGAGGGATGTGGCAGTGAGAAAGTGAAAGTAGGAATGAAAGAAAGAAAGCAGGCATATGTGAATCAAGAGTAAGAAGATACCTGTTCTGGAGGCTTCGCAGGTTTATTCAGCAGACCTCCCACCAGAACAGTGTAGGGCATAAGTGGCTGCGGGAATTCTAATGAAAAGTCAGTGTTGAAGGCCCAGAGTTCAGCTCCCTGATGTAACTCCTCCAGACCACCAGGGGGTGAGCCTGACTCAAGGTGGCGCTCAGCTACTTCCTTAAATGTTGCCCATACACATGCCTGACCTTTTAAATAAAAACAAAATTAAAAAATACCGTTATTGTTTTATTCTTGTTGAAACTATTTAGATTATTATCATTTTCTGTGTGTAACACTATTCTTACCCAAGGGGGCCAAGAATGAATAAAAGAGGTTTTTTGTGCGACCCCAGAGGCTCATGTGGTCAGACAGCTGGGAGCTAAAGACTGGGATGTAGGAGACTGGACTTGGGAGAGCAATGGACAGAGGACCGTTTATAGTGCCAGGATAGAAAGCTATGTAGTTGACACCTGCAGTAAATTAAAAGTAAAGTGCATGGAACTTCAGAGATACTGCTGATTAATTCACAGTGGTTGAAAAAAACCCAATTCAAACAAATCTGCAATCCTCAGAAAAAAAGGAGTGATAAGGTATTGGTTACATTTTTTCCAGTGGTCATATTACGAGTAAAAGGATGACAGTTAATATGACATAAAGCAAAGTGAGAGAAACAGCAGATGTACCAAGTTTGCGTGCCAGGATGAAGGAACAGGGATTAAAAGCATCAAGGATGGCGATGTCGTAGCGTTCCTTCTTTAAGAAAGGTATTATCTCTTTGTCCTCTAAAAGCTTGTCGCACTGATAGGACAGGTGGCCCATGAAGTTTAGAAAGTTATTAAAAGTATCCCTGAGGAAAAGAAAATGGGAGAGTAAGATAAAGGGGAGAAAAGTGAGAAAGGACCAATTACAGTCTGATTTGGGCAAAATGCCTCAAAATGCTTCTTTAAAAACCAGATTTAAGATCATACTAAGATGAAGTAGCTTACAGAGTTTATCTGTTTTACCTGACATCAAAATCTAGATAAGAAATGTCCTTAATGCATTTGATACCTTCCAAGAAAAAACTGTGTTTGTTGCTGCAGGAACCAGCCGTTATATTCTTTGATATATTCTTCTCCTAAGGACCAGGTGCTGGTTTGGTAACTGTCTGCCCGGCCGACATAGGAGAAACCTGGGCGCAACATTCAGATGAGAAAGATTAAAAAACAAAGTACAGATGGAAAAGAAAGTCCTGTTAAATATCCATCTGTGTATGTCTGTAAGTGCTTACAGTTTACCTGTAATGACAGGGTTGCCAAGTTGCAAGAGCATGCGGACCTCATGGCCATGCTGATGTAAGTTATGAGAAATTTCATCTAATAACAAGTAGTGGCTTCCTCCTAGCAGAGAGGAGAGAAGAAAAAATCACAGAGAAATGACTTTTTCATCCAAGCGTAGCGCTTTTTATTTACAACAAACTATAATAATTCTTACAAACTCTAATAGTGTCTTTCCTTCACCAAGTCTTTTAACAAGACATTTCTATAACTTTTTTTTCTACTTACCAGACTTAGAGTTACACCTCTACTACAGCTATTAGAGAGTCCATTCACAATAAGAGCTCCTTTACTCACCAATTAGACAGACAGTCAGGATCTTGGCAGACTGAAGTACTGGAAGAGCCAGAAGAGAAAACATCCAAAAGACAATCCCCATGTTGTTTTTAGGGTACCACGCACTGACCTGCAGCCAGAGTTCTCCAAAAATAGTTGTCCAATTCAAAAATAACCTGTAATGAATACCTTCCTTCTTGAACCTGAGAAAGTTTTGTCCTCTTCCGCAACACCGAAACAAGAGTAAGAACAAACGAGCAAGTGGCACAGATTGGGTCCTGTAGAAGAGTTGTGATCTGGAGAAATGTTACGTTTCAACAAGAAATCAGCAAATCAGCGTTTAGTGCATCTAGTTAGCTTTAAGAAGTCCTTTTTTTCATCTCACTTCCATCAGCAAAGAGTAAAGAATTTCCTTAATGATAATCCTCATTTAGTGTGCCTAGAATATATCCGCTATGCTTTGTCTGGCAACAAGTGTAAAAGGTCCAACTTTAAGGCGCTGTATCAATCAGAAGGTTTTGGATGCACGTCTTCACGTATATTTCTGTCTGTAAGCAACACGTGAATGGCTCTGTTTTCTCTAAAAGTCAGACACCGAGAAGTCCAGGAGCCCTGGTTCTGCAGTGATAATTAAAGGGAGGGAAAGAAAAGGGCGGTGGGTCAGGGGGAGTGGGGTGTTCCCCAAGCCCTCCTTGTATCAAATTAGACAAATGTTAACAGAAGTTAACCCCCTCCGTCAATAAGTACAGGAACGCACGTATTGATGAAATTGATGACAGTCTGTGTGGAAGCTGTACACAAGGGAAATGAATGATGCATTAGTTATTTGTTTGATCTTAAGTAAAAATATAACTTTATTTATATAGCTCCCCTCTTTTTAATTTCCTCTTTTTTTTCTGAACAGCATACACACTAACTTGATTGGTTGTGGGTTCCCTGGCAGGCAGTTGCTGGCAAGTCAGGCTTGACATGTAGGTTATCCTGGACAATGCACTCATTGTAGCTGCTTTTCTGTGTCAGGGAGGTCATTAGAAAAACAAGTCAGTCAGAAAAACTGCTGGAGTGTATCAGAAAAAAAAAAGATGAGTACGAGGGGTCAATCCCGCCATTATTGATGTTATTGTTGTCAAATCAGTAAAGTTCTGCTCCCAGCCTCCACCAGTCGTGGACATATCAACATACTGAAACAAGTTACCGGTGCATGTCTGTTTATTCAATGCTGCAGTTAGCAATACATTTAAGCAAGCATTTGATGTGTAAAAGTAATGAGAATACTTCAAAAAGAAAAGAAATAGTTCTTTGTGATGCAGACAGCAGAATGCACCGTATAAGTCTTATCCTTTAGGAGATCGTGAAGCTTTTGGTCTCTCCTTCAGCAGGTTGGTCGAGTAGAACTCTATGAATGTTCTGAAAGAGAAAAAGTGTGTGTGTGTGTGTGCGGGGGGGGGGGAGAAAAAAAAAAAATTAAGAGATAATTGACGTTTTAAAACTAGAAACAAATTATTCAAAGGGTGTTGTGAAAGAAAGAAAAGATGAGATTGATTACTTATGAGGATTTGTCATCTTAATAATCTAGAAACATGGTGGCAGAAAGTTTGGAAAATAAGTGTTGTTATGTTAAACTAATCAGAGCAACATGACAATCTGAAAGAGAGTCTAAGCAATGACTTACTACAAGTTGGTATTGAGTTGAGGTCTCCATTAGTTCCTGGGTGAAAGGATGCTGAGAGAGGATGGAGAAGGGGACACAGTCCTCTGGTTTGTAGCCCAGCTCTCCAAATATATTAACCAGTTGCTAAAGGTCAGCAGTGAAACAAAATCAAAATAAGGGATGAGTTTCACTTGAATGTTTTTTTAATTGTGCTTAGAAAATACATTTTTAAATTCAACATGTCCTTGAAAGCTCTGTGTACTTTCACAGGTTTACCTCAGTGTACTCCTGCTGACTGAGACAGCCAGGAGGAAGTGGGTTTCCATCTTTAGACTTGGGGACTTTATGGCAGATGACAGTGAGGAGAGCAGAGATGGAAACTCCTTGCTCCCCCGACCAACTGCTTGATGCGCACAGGTTGGTCTCTTCTTCATTTGTCTCTCCTTCAAGGTCTGAGGATCCAAGCTCTGTGGCCTCTTCTATACTGGGCATAGACTGTATACATAACACATTAATAAATGTTTATGGGCTGAAGTTTGTATCAATGAGAGACATTCAGTTTGTCATAACAAAATAAATTACCAGTAAGTAGAATAACCCAAAACATTACTGTCATTATGGAAAATAACATTGATAGTTTCTATTAAACTTTTCAGGTGATTGGTTTACAGAAAATCTGAATATTTTAGCCATAGATTTTGTAAAAGACTATGATTTTTTGCAATAATTTTGGGACATTTTTTGTAATCTAAATCACTCACCTTGACAAGATGGCCAGTTGAGGAGTGCTTGAGATGATGTCCTGAAACTACACTTAGGGCTCTGATGAAGCCCTCCTTGGGGTAAGGGTCAGCTGCAAAGTACTGCAGCATGGTCACATAGTCCAGTTTTGGGGGAGATGTGGAGTGGTCAGCAAACAACTTGAAAAAGAACTAGGAAAAAAAAAGTTTTACTGTTAGTTTGTTTGATTTACTTGCAACAAAGTGTATCTGTTTGTTCATTTGGTAACTCTGAGGTTAGAACAGAACAGATGTTTAATCCCCTTGTGTTATGAATAATGATGAATTTCTTGTATAATAAGGTGACACTGAAAACACCTGAAAATCCTTTTTATTGTCATAGCGCCATTGGTGGCTCAATTCTACTTTGAAGTTCAGGAAAACAAAAGTTTATCTTGACGTGGAAATAAGTAGCTAAGCATTGCAGCTAGTTTACCTTGTGAAGGTTAGCCAGACGATCATAAGGTAGAGGCTCAGAGGGCTCCTCAGGGACAGGCTGGACACTTTCTTTGGAAAACCACAACCCTGTCTGGAGGAGAGAGAAGAAGAAACTTTTTTTTTTAACATTCAAAAAGCTGATTTCATCTTGAACTTTTTAAATGTTATAATAACTTCTCAGTGTGCTTTCGCATTGACTCAAACCGAGGCCAATTCTGACAGGAGCATCAGAATCACAATGTTCTGAATTTGTGTTTGTATAAAGACAAACCTGTTGGTACTGTTCCTGGTTTATATAGCCTGTACAGCCAGTATCTGCTTCCTTGAAACGCTGTAGCACAACCAGAAGCTGTGTTAAAGATGGAAATGGCCAAGGGAGGGCGGCACTGAGCAGAAACCGACGCCAGTCTATCAGCTCATAGTTGTCAGTTAGTAGAGACACAATCTCCACCAGCTGGGGAAAGGAGAGAAGAGGGCATTGCTGTGCCTTATTGGGTCTTTAAAGCACATGAACAGTATGGTGTCGGGATGTTTACTGACTTTCTTTACTTTTTTATCACTGTGTTGTAGAAACTGTTTAGAAATTGTCTTTAAGAACTGGCTTTATATACCAAGAATAAATTAAAATGTACTTTTTGTTTTCTAAACTCTCTGGAATGTTTTGAACAGTACCTGTGTTTCATTCTTCCAGGTCTCAGGTAAGGTGTTCCTGCCTATATTAACGGAGATGATTTCCATGATCAAACTGGAGAACTCAGAACTAGACATGAGGCCTGAAAGTCCGAGAAAGAAATGCATTGATGAATAGTAGAATGACATATATTAAAATACAAATCATATCACAATGTTGTCTTCCTGTATTCACCTGATGGTGCAACAGTGTATAGATGCTGGTGGAGCGCCTCTAGTTGAGTGATGGTAAGCGTCTGTATGTGTTTCTCCAGAGGAGATGGGCGAGGAGGGGGAGCAGGGCTAGCCACCATGTGGTAGTCTCCATTCAGATAGAAATCTGTACATTCCTGGAAAAGAGAATACAGAGGGACTTCAAATAAAAAAACTGAGGTCAATGAGGTCAGATTCATTGTCAAATGTCACACTGTAGAAGAAGAATTCAGATTTCATCCTACAGTTTTTTCTGTTACGACAAAAATAAAAAATCAGTACAATTACAAAGTAATACACACCAATACCAGCTCTTTCTGCAACTTAGCACCAGTCTCTATGTGGTAGCGAACAACTTCTGTTAGCTGGTCAATACTAGAGAAAAGCAAACAGGACACAGATATAGGTCAATTATCAACCAACAAGGGAAAATTTGATCTTTCTCGTGGAGATTAAAACCTATTATAATGCACACGTATTACTTTGTCTGTAAAGCTTCTCAGTCATCAGAATTTAATAGATTCTTAAAGACTGAAAAGAACTGAAGCAAGTCTTTCAGAGGAAAAGAGAAACGTCTTCAAGAACCTTTATCAAGTCTTCTTGCCTTTTGGATCAAGCCTTAAATTTAAGAGCATTACATTTTTTTATTTTCTAAAGTAATCGTTTCCAGCTACCCTCAGGCTCACTTTAGAAATGCTTTGATTAATCTCTTTATCTTTAATGTTCCATTAAAAACTAACCAGTCCTAACTAACCACAATCCGTTCATGTCCCTTTATATGCACATGATCATCCCTTAAATGAATCCATTCTCATAAAGCACCATACCTCTTCATTTCTGCAATATAATGTGCTTGTAACCACTTCTCCATGCTGCTTGCGGTCTGTTCTGCTCTGTTGTGCAGGGAGTGTAGCATCACCAGACCATGACCTTTCAGCAGAGCAATGCGCACCTTTGCTGAATTCTCTGGAAAACACACGCATGCATGCAAGAAGATAGAGGGACACAACTATGAAAGCATATTGGCCAAACACTTTCATTCATGTATTTGGATAAATAGTACTCACATGGATTTTCATAACATTTGACTGAGCTACATGAATACATATCCTTTATTTTACACAGTTCTCAGTAAACAGAACCATGAAGAACACTGACCATGTTTTATATGAGCATTACACATACTATGAATACAGAAGTCACTGAAACTCTCAATGTGTGTGTCTGTGGGTGTGAAAGTGCATTTGTGCATACCCTCATGACCCAGGGCGGCTGCATACTCTCTATGTATCTTTTCTCTGACTTCTCTAGCATGATTCTTCCCTGAGTCTTCAGGTGGATCGGGGCTGGGTTCAGGAGGTGGGGTTGGTGGACCTGTTGAAACAAGAAGAGGAGGAATATATTCATGAGATAGACTTTCTAAAGCAGTTCTGTACTTGCTAGATCTACATTGTTTTTAATACTCTGCATGGGGCATGCCTTTTCTTTTTTTGGATGCTTGCTTCTTATTTTCCTTTTTCTTTGCACTAGCTGGGGCATTTGGCTTTTCCTTCTCTGGTGGTTTCTCCTTCTGCTCTTTTGTCTCCCCCTGGTGGGCTTCTGCTGCCACCTATAGACATGTAGCACGTATACAGGTTAGTGATTAAATAGAAAGATACTCTGTGTGTAAACCATTACAATAATATACTTTCACACTGAGTATTACCAGTTTACTGATGGCTGTGAAGGCCTCCTCATAATCAGAGATTAGTTTCTCATGGGGTGGCTGCAGTAAACAATGAAATGGGTTAATATCTCCTACCCTGACATTTGGAAAGCTTGATTTTACAAAAAACATCACACTGTCAAGAAACAAGCATCTAATAGGATGGTACAGTCTAAAATAAAAAAAGCATTGAAAGCACTGTAAATACTTAATGCCATCCTACAGACATAAATACTCTAAAACATCATAACAAAACTAAGGCAGGACATCTGATATGACATGACCTTGACAGGTTCTGCCTGACCCTGGCCTTTGGCCTTGGACACCTCTCCAGTGGAGTCAGGACGGCTTGGGATGAAGGGAATACTGGAGCAGAGGATAATTTGTTAAAAGCTTACAGGGTTTATATGGACTGTGAGGAAATGTCAACATGCGGTTCTTCATTTAAACACACTCAAGAAAAGGAAACACTGTGTGCTGGTGCTTTTTCCTCACAATTTACTTTTCCATGTGAGCTCTCCGTCGTTTCCTTGACTACACACAATAGTGTCTGCTGGCTCAGAACTGGAGGCACAAAATAGACCTATCATTTCTCATACATTATTCACCATTTTGTTATTCTATCCTATCATCTTGTATTAACATGGTTAGGTTGTAATCGATAGCGTGATTCTTGCCTCTCATCCTGATCCTTGTCCAGTAAGGGGATACAGACAAAGTTTGAGGGGAGCTCAGGCAGCACTTGTTTGTACATGCTCAAATAGTAGACTCTTAGGATGCACAGTGTGTCCTGGAAACGGTCCAACTCCACCTATTCAACCAAAGCAAAACAATATTATGATCAACCTGATAAGTCATGTAGAATGCATGGAAATTAATGTAACAGTTACAAAATAAACAGACTAAGGAAAATATTTCTAAGGATGGAATTTGAATCTACTGAATTGAAAAGCCAGAGTTAAGCCAAATTCTTGAAGGGAAAAAGAAAAGTGACCTGCATGAGTACAGAGTGGTTGTTGATAAGGACAGCACTGTGGTCCTCCAGCCAGCCTTCTCCTAGAGCAGCCCTCTCTTTTTCATCCTCCTCTTTACGCTGGTCACTGATGTCCCACAAGCGTTCACGCAGTTCCTGTACCATTTCAGTACAAATGTGTTATATTGTGATTTTAAGCTGTTTATGTAATCTAGGATTAATTTGTATTGTATGATGTTGTTACAAAGACGTTTACATCTAATCTTAGATGTAGTTCTGCTTTGGTATCATCATCTTCTCTCATATCATCAGCAATACTGTTGAAGTCCTTCTGCCACTGAGACACCAACTCCTGCTTCAAGTCTGGACGGCCAAGATAATGCTTAAACTCCTCCCTACAGATAAGTAAACTTGTCATATATAGGAAGCATCAAATGTAATATATAATAATAAACTGTGCTAGATTTACATGGTATAAGTGTACATGTACAAGGAGGCGATTATGTAATCTCAGTTATAGAAATAGACATAAAAGGGAAAAGAAAGACGGGTACAGAAAAGTCAGCAAGTTGTAAATGCTTAATAATGTGACCACTCATACTCAATAAAATAAAAATGGTCACACGATTTAAGGGCTTGGAGATCACCTGATGTTGTATAGGTGATGGTCAATAACAGTGCGCTGTGAGCGAAGCTGCTGCATCACTGTCTTTATGTTCTTCACATAAGAATCACACACTGCATCCCAATGGGGGCACAAATATTCTGGGATTTCCTTGAGAAAAAGAGATGGAGAGGGGCAGATATTAAAAAAAAGCAGTCGTTGGGGAGGATAGGAGACTATAAAACATAACAGGAAGTCAGGAAGGGGACACATGTAACATTGTAGCCTACTGGAGGGAGGGGTTCATCCACATAGACCCAGGCAGGTGCGCCTGGGAGGGGGGAGGCAGACTGAGGTGGCTCCTTGATCAAAGAAGAGGTTGATGACTTCCTAGAGGGTCCTGTGTATAAGCCAGAAGACAGCTACATAAACTCACTTAAAAAAAAAGAAATTACCATATTTTTAAATGTTAATCACAGACTGAATGGAAGTAAAGCTGACTGTGTTAAAACAACATTGGGATGGCCTCCCTAACATCGATGCGATCTATTTCACAGACTACTAATCCATTCACCTCTGGGGGAGTTTGGGCTGGATTTGGAAAGTGACTTCACACTTTGGGCTTTTTTCTCCTTAAGCTGGAGCAGGAGTCCGAGCGGCTGGGATCCTTCTCTGTGATGGCTGTCTGTCTATCTACAGGTGAAGGTGTGGCCGAAGAGGGGGATCCCGGAGCATTCAGACTGTCCAACGTTATAACTTCAACTTGAGGTGTGACACGAGCTAATAAGGCAGATGTGGAGAAACTGTCTGTAAATATGGTGTGTCTTTCACCTTGTTTTTTTTTTTAAATCTAATATGAAATAATGAAAAAGTTGATTCTGAGCAGGATGGTGAAAACACAAAGAATTTGAGTTTACCAACATTCTCTAAATACTAAAATGATAACCAGATACCTTCCTGCCTTTGCAACATCACTTCCTGCAGGGCAGACTCCACCCTGTTGTAAAGCTCCTTCTCATCAACATCTGCATCAACACGCACCAAAATGCTTTGTTTTCCACCAAACCATCTCTCAAGTTTTGGCCAGGTCTCCTGAAAAGTGCTAATCCTTGATGGGGTGGAAAAGATTCAGAGACATCTGACAGGCAGCAATATTTATTTTATTTCATTTAAGCTTCCCTTCTAATCTTTAATTTTGTTACCTGTGCGGAGTTTGTGCCACGAACATTGTTTTGTCAGAACTGGAGGTATCAGCAATTTCTGTATCTGCACCAGAGAGAGCAAGAAAACACAGAAATCCAATTGTTTCATTGTGGTTTTGTAATACAGAGCATGGGCGCACACAGATATATAACAGTAAACACTTATCAATTCAACTTACCTGTCTGACTGTATGCACGTCTCACCACACACTCGTCAGGGATATCCAGCAGCAGAGCCAGGTCCAGTACAGGAGCAGGCGGTGGTGGAGGTTTGGGAGGATTCGGATCAGTGGCAAGGTCTGTCCAGCTGCTCACATCATCATTTCCTCCATCCACAGATCCACCCAGGGCTTTTTCTAGCAGGTGGGCCTGGATGATGTCTGTTGGAAAGCCATCCAGGATCCAACCTGAATGAGCTGGAACTTGCCTGGTATGAACACAACAAATATGTTACTGTCTTGAGAGTGACTTGGGCTGGGTTTGTTTGGTAATTTCTTCCAAATTCCAAATATAGCTAATTTAAATCTGTGGTCCCTTGGCAAGATTACTCTGAAATAATAACTATGTGAAATGGCTTGCATGTTTTCAAAATGTCATTTCACAATACTAAGCCAAATATTTAGTTTTATGTAGAAATACAGGTTATGTGCTTACCTAATAGCCTCTGCTATAATATCAACCAACAGCTCATTTGGGATGGCGTTGCCTTTACTCAGCTCTTCTTTTGCAGCAGCTCCATGCACGGCATGGGTAGACAACTGGGAAAAAGTGACACATGAAAGCAGGAAAAGGGTTTCATTCCAATTAGATGCAAACACATTTTGGAAAAGAATATGTATCAAATTGTTATTACCCACAAATGTCATTATTTTCCCAAGGAGAAAATTATTCTGATTTGTAAGCAATATTAATTCAAGACCTACTCTTGGACTGCTGTCTCTACTTTCCTCCTGACTGTGAAGATCTGGAAAATAACGACGAGGAACATATCTCCCATTAAACATGCAGCTGCGTGAAAAACTTAACATGCAGTAAATTATCTACATATAACAAGCAAATAACACACTGCAATTTTTACTATAAAACATTGTGTAGTAGATTCATGCAACCCACCAGGTTTTAATAATGTGGAGTTTGAGTGCTGTTGCTCACTATCACTCTCTCCTTGCTGCTCTGACACCTGTACATTTATTTTAAAGAAGAGTCGTTTAAAAGATGAAATGTTAAAGATCATTAAGGAACGTTTTTAAGACCATGCATTTAAGGGATTATACAAGACAAGACTATATTCATAAGGATACTTTAGAAGCTACAGTACTGTTATTCTGTGTCTGGCTCACCTCCTCTCCGTTCTTGTAAGCACTCAGCGCCTCCTCAATCAGTGTGTTAGCACATAAGACATAGATGCCATGAGCTAAAGAAGAAAATATAACCCACATACTCAGCATTAAGTTATATGACTATATAACATGTTGGTGTATCATTTATTCTTTCAGTAACAACATCTTTAATTTGTGTTAGACTGTTCAACTGTATGATTGCATCAGTGTGTTTGCATGCTGTGTACCTTGAGCAATCTTCGTAAGGCAGCTGGTCTTCCCAGAGCAAAACTTGCCCAGGACACAAGCCTTGAGGGTAAAGTGAGGAAATAAAGGCAAGGAAGGTTCCATATCGCATGGATTCATAATGTTCTTCAGTCGCTGGACAACATGTCCAAGAACATTGTTGTTTTTCAGGGGTAATTTGGTCTCCCCTTCTCCTCAGGCCATGCCCACTCACCTATCATGTTCTGACAAAAATAACACATGGCTCAGACAAAGAGAATCTTTTCTGGCATTATTAACTTTTTCTGTTTTTTTTAATTCTTATTTTGTTCACTACTTAACTTGTGCATTTTCCACTAATTTGCAGAAAAAAGGTTAAAACACACACACATGTTCAATCTCACACCACACTTGTGTTTCACACTCACAGTGTAGTCATCACAGTCCTGGTTATTGAGTGTCTCCTGCTTCTTAAGCTCTACAGGGTCTAGCGGGGTAGAGAACTCAAACCCTGGCTGCTGACCCTTTATCGACTCATAGAGAGGCAGACCACTGAGCAGCAGTTCCTTCCACTCTCTCATTGCCTTCTCTGGAATCAGACTGAACATGACAGCAGAACAGAAATGTCAGGAGGCAAAGCTAGACTGAACCACATTTTGAACTATATAATTTACCACATACAAGGTAAATTACTGTGGCTTTAAGGGCTTTAAATGTTTCTAAATGTACTCAGTATAACTCAGAATGTTTTATGATTGACCCTACAAAGGATTCAACTTGAATGTCTCGTCTTTTAAAGCTTACTCTAACCAAAAATAAAGCTTAAAACTTAGGGGAGCAGCAGTCATATTGGCATAGAATGTGAATACTGAACGCAGTTGTGTCGGAGCTGTGCATATATATATATATATGAAAATGATGCATTTGACTGTGGGAAAAAGCAGACAGGATATGCAAATCTCCTGGTTTTATTTGACATCTTGCTAGTTGTACAAAACTTTTTCAAAAATGTATATTTTTTCACAGGGAGTAGACTTGCATCTGAATCCACACTGCACCGGAATATTTATTTTTTATACATTACATATATGTTTTAAGTCTTCAATCCCATTTAAGATTTATAGTATTTTCTAAGATACATTTAAATGGTTTCCTGTTGAAAATAAACTAAGTAAATAATGATGACAGTTGTTGGTATAATGGTGTAATTATGTACATTTTATAATGGTATTAATATTGGAAATATTGGTATAATTTCCAGTATTTTTCTGTTGCCCCTGTTGTTATGATCTTTATTTTACTTTACCAGTCAATGAGGTTATTTCTTTTATAGAAAACACAACTTTTCATTGTGATTACACTTGAATGTTAAGTTTTGCACTCAAATGTGATGTGTTCAAGTATGAATAGACAATACAACTTTCAGATGTAGCAGAGCACAAAGCACAAATGTCTTTACAACTGCACTTAATTTGACCCAGAAAATGACATACTTAACAAATTCACAGAACGAAAACGGACGATAATACTCAGTAACTACCAAGAGACGCAGTTTTATAACACATTTTGGAATTTCCACACTTTCATTATCAACAGGCTGAGAGGTCATTTGTATAATTGAAGCGTATACAGTAAAAGCGTTTCTAATGCATCGATAAAAGCGATGTGCTACATACTTCCCAGTGAGGAGTCGATATTCTCCAACTTTGGTGGCCAAGTCCACTAAGTGCTCCACAATGTCCTTGCAGATCATAAAGTGTTTTTTGTATCTGCTCTGAGCTCGCTCTGCGGACATCCGGCTACAGAGCTCAAGCTCCTTTCTGATCTCTTCAGCGCCATCCGACTTAGCCTGCCGAGCCAAAGCCTGTACCAGGCCCCGATCAGAAAGATGGAATGGGTTGGAAAAGACATGACATAAATACTCCTGAGTTCAGCACTGTTAAAAATAAAGGACTGTTGTTATCTAGCTAATTTACTGTGCAAAACAATGAACAACATTCTGAATGCTGAAGGATTTTTAATCATTGTTACCTATTGGATAATTAATGTTGTGAATATATATGTATATATAAATATTTTTTACGTCAACTTTAATAATACCCGATTAAAGTATTAATACCTATTTTCATTTAATCATGTAATTTTTCCCTTAAGTTTCTTCTAATAGTCTGAGATTAAACCACACGACACCTGCTCTGAGATTAATAACAGGACCACTGCACCTTGACCACAGCATACTACTACATCCATCAATCCATTAGCTACACTTCTTATCTCTTGTTTGTGGGAATGCTGGAGCCGATATGCCAGCAGCAGGGATCGACTGTGTTGTATATCTAACACTTAAATCATGAGAATGGCAGTAATCTCTTGTGAAGCATTATTCACATATATAGTAAGTATCTGTGCTTACTTTTAATTAAATCAGGCATCTACTGTATAAGGGTGACCACTATACACACAGAAAAGATAAACATATTCTGCAGTAGTCCCTGTCTGTACCTCTGAAGTTATTGTCTCTCATAACAAAAGCAAAAAGTCTGTTGATACTATACAAGGTACCAAAATCAACCCTTTCTAATTCCCTTTTCTCTCCCTCCGTCGCAAATCTGACTATCACACAAACAGCCTAACACAAAGTGCTACGAGAGAGATTATTCTTCTTTGTTATTGGTCCTATCTCACCGCCTCCCTCTCCAGAGCTTCCTGGAAGTCCCTCTCTTTCCGCTGTTGGTACTGCTGCTCTCTGAACAGGCGGTTTTCCCGGATCACCTCCTTCTGCATATGCATCTGGAGGAGCTGAGTTGCCAACTGCTGCTCCTGCTGAGTCTGACGTGTCAGACGCTTCACCAACTGCTCATCTCGCCGTGCCTCCTGCAGGGTAGGCCAGATGGGGATGATTATTTGATTGATATTGGGTTAATATAATTAATGTTATGAACTGTGTGTAAACATTTATTTTAAATAGCTTTTTCAGTTGTTGTAAAAAAAAAAAGCAATATGAATATACAAAATTATAAATATAGATTTTTCAGAAGAAGGAACAGATGTTACTGAATAAACTGTTTCACCTCTTGAGCTTCATGGGCCTTTAGCTGTTCCACCAGGAACCTGTCTCGTCTTTTCTCTCTCTGCTCACGAGCAAGAGCACTCTCCTCCAGCCTCTGACGTATATCCTTCAAGTATTTGCTGTTGGATTGCAATACCAGTTTAGCTCCACTCCCAGGGACCTCACTGCCATGACCGCTGCCACCAAGGAAATCTCCAGGGAAGGGCTGCCCACTAGGAAAAGTTGAATCACATTTTGGAGTAATTATACTGATGCATGATGGTGAATATCTCAGGGTACTATAAAATAAATACAACTAGCTAAATAACATTATTCTGCATAAAAACAACATTTATCAAGTGAATGTTGTATTTTCTCTCACCTGGAAGAGGAAGAGAAACCACAAGTTACCACTTTATTCCTGTTTGTCTCAAACTGGGCTATTTCAGTCTGGACTGTCTGTGAAAACAAAACAGACAGCAACTATAAATATACAGGGAGGACAACAAACTTATTTCACACCCATGTTTGTTCATGTGTTTTCAGTGGGAAATGTCATTGATTGTTGTTGAACCTGTGGCATTTCAATTACTTAAAGGGTAGTGTTCTTTACAGTGTCTTTAAATAGAATGTATCAAAACAAAGTAAATCTCAAATAAGACCCCCCCACACACACACACACTTTCCTCTTTTTAAACAATAATGGATGTTAAGGAATAACAAGCGATCACCTTGAAGAGGACTGGAAAAATCCAGTAAATTCATTTGTAAACAACAATAAGTGTTCTTGGTATTGAATTGATTAATTTAGCTAATATTTTTGTCACATTTTTTCCGCTATGTACTGAATAGATTCCTACGACCAAAGGGAGTTTTTGAAAAGACCTTAACTTAGACTTAAGACCTGTTGTGGCATCAGCATCTATTAGCACTGTTTCAGCATGCCAAAAATAAAATCCCTCTGTGGGTTGGTAGGTTATCAAATTTAATTTGTATCACACCTGGACGTGTTGTTCTCTGCGCTGTTGCTGACGTTGTCTCTTCTTTAGGTTGAGCTGTGAAGTGTAGGGAGGTGGCCTGGGGACCTGGACAATGGCGGCCTGGTTATAAGTCATGGTGCCATTGTGCTTTTGTCGACACATCCGCAGCTGCAACATACAAAGCTCTCCAATGTCAATGTTATTAATGTTTCCTTTATTCCATCAGTTATGGTTCAAGGTTAGGTTTATCAATCAGTATCAGTATTGTATTACACAGAGTCAAAAACAAACAAACTACATAGAATCACGTGTGACTGAAACTGACAAAGATACCTTAAAAAAACACAAGATAATAAATATGGTTTCTGTAGTTTTCCTTGAAGTCTGTTTATACATTTTCTCTTTTCATCTAGTGTGTTTTGATTTCTTTAGTACCTTTTCTATATTATTCAGTCTCTTGTCATCCTGCCCTTTGAGTGGTCTGCTCTGCTGGATGGGATGAATCATCACAGACCTGTCCCTCCATTGCTGACATTTATCTTCATAGTGCTCGTAAATTTGCTGCAGCTTCAGCTCTGCATCTCGTTTTACCACCTGATGCAGTTTATTTACAAATGAAGAGAATAAGGTTCTAAAAAATACAAATTGTATATTGGTAACTTCAAAAAAAGTGAACTATAAGACTGATAGAGAGTCAGAATTGTCATGGCTACTTGTGTAGTATTTAAAGGTACAGCGCAAGAAAGTTATCCTCATTATGCTTTTACATAACCAAACATGCAGCTGCTTCAATAAATCTGCCACTGACAACATGCATATACATAATAAACATCCAAAAAGCATCCCCTTACATCAGAGTAGATCTCGTGCTCCTTTTTATGCAGTCCAGCATTTGCTGCAGGCTGCATGATTTCCATCACTGTCCCACTGATATCAGCTTTCTTCTTCTTTTCTAGGGAGACGTAGAGTTGGTAAAGAAGGCGTGTGGCAACACCCTGCTTCTCCTGCATCAGGTCCTGGGCTGTGTTTATGTCAAATGAGATCCCCAATAACTGGAGGGTAGGCTCAATACGGGTGAAATTATTCAGTTTGGAGATGGAGGTTCTACAATACAAGATAATAATAAACTTTAAGAATTGTGAACACTTTTAGTTAGAAAAATCAAAGAAAAGTGAGGGAAGCTTACTGTTTCTTCATAAACATACTGAAGTCGTTCTGCAGCTGATATTTGTGCAGAACCTCCCCAATGAGGTAACCATTGGAGAAATTCTTGGCAAAAGTCCTTGGCTCTGAAGATAAACATGCAACCACTTTCAGATATGAAACATTTTAAACATGTTTTTGTTTTCTTGATTTTAACAAGTTGGTATTAATCCATTAAAATGTGTATTAACATATTTTGTACACCTGATAGTTGGAGTTCTTTCTATGTCGAGTATCATAATCATTTCTCAAGTCACTAACTGACCTACTGTGACTATTTCTCAGGTTTTTCTCGAAATACTTCTTTTTAAATTACATTGCTCTTTTTCTCCTAGTGCCTGAACGTCACAAATACATAAACGTCAATATGTTAAGAATATAATAGTTTTTATTTTTATTTTAGGTAAATTACTAGCTAGGTTCTGAAATAGCTTTTACATTGTATATTATGTAAATTCAGTCTCCTTTTGCTTGTGTGTCACATCAGTCACGGTTAGTTACAACCGACTAAACCACCGAGTAAGTGTTAAGTAGGTTACAAGAGAAGTCACACTTACCAACAGCTTTTGACAGCCGGAGCTCCTCATTTAGCCACCTGCACAATATATCCGACATCTTCTCTCTTCTCGCGTTCAACACTATCAAGTGAATTACATGTTACACAGGTAATAGTTTGAGTGTTTATCTCGCTACTAAATGCTCAACAAATCAGGCAAAAGAGAAGGAAGTCCCAGTGGTGCACTGTTGCTATGGTGACTCGTCAACTGGGTTGCCCAGTGTGCTCCAGAAGGGCACTCACGGGAGCGGGCGGGCCCCGCTGGTCCTAGAACAGTTTTCCTTTTTCTGGACGCAAATAAAAGCAGCAATAAAATGACTGCAAACCGATCCAAAAGCTGTATTATTTCACTCTTCAGAAGGTCATTAGGGACGATAATATTTTTAGCAACACTTGACTGCAGCCAACCTTTACCAATTAGGGAGTGAAAGAAAATGCTAAAATTAATGAATTAGAGTGAAATATATCCTATTGCTAAGCAGATTTATAATGCCAAGTGGAATCATTTATTGTTTTCTAGAGATAAAATTTGTTGAAAAAAATAAAATAAACATGGACAAAATTAAGGGTGGCCAGACAAATTTATTGCATTAATCAAGTAGCATTTCACTTGTTTTATTAGTGTTAACATTTATTTATTCATCAGAAGCACTTCACTGTCTCGTAAAAGCAATAAGTAAACCATTCGAAACATCATCAAGCCTTTTTTTTTTTTTTTTAGAAATGAAAGCCTTTAAAAGGAGCAAATTTCTTCAGTCCTGTTGTCATGCACAACATTAGTCAGTGTTAGTGTTTCAAAGCCACACGGTAACATAAACATGAAGTTTGAAGAATTTACTTGCAACTGTTTTGTGGTAATAGTTTAGCATGCATCAATTTTGCAGATATATGTAGGGCCAGAGATGAAGATGTATAAGGCAGCAGGCGTACCCTGCTATATAAACCTCATTCCCAATGTCCTACAGAGTAATCTTAGGCTCCCATTAAAGGTGTGGATGAACAATGGAAAAAAAAAAAATCATGGTCTGTAATGGAAATTTGCAAGTCAGCTGTCACCATGTTTGTCTGTTTGGTGAATTCTCTGGCCCAAATTACAATGTGACTAGAAAAGCGACAATTTTGTGATAAGATAGGAATGCAGAGCAGGCAAAACTATCCTAATAAGACAGAATCACAATTTAGTTATAATGAGTTTTAGATACTTTTTTAAAAACGTTTCCTTGTGTTAAAGCACAAAACAAATATACATTAATCGTGTGATTTCTTTACATTTTATAGGACTCAATATATTTGAGATTCATCAGAATAAACATTTGCCTTTTTTCCTCCTAAGAAAGTTGGTAAGTCAACATTACTGTATATCTGCCTGTCGTCGGATGGGGAATAGAATTTACAACATTAAACAACATAGCATTTTGTATTGTAAGCAGGAAACAATGAAAAAACAACAACAAATATGTACAGTTTTCTTGCATTAAAGATTTAGAGGAAATATAAAGGGAATCTGTTGCCATGTTAAAAGACAGGAAACTATATCCACCCTTTACCATTGCATCTTTTTTTTATCACTGATCTCACAAAATGTAACTGCTTGGTTCAGTTATGACCAAATTGGACTGGTCTAAGATGTAGCTTTGACAAATTCTATTAACCATTTTATTCCCTTAATCAGGCTAAAATTCAGATCAGTGATAAAGGCGAAGACAAAGAAGATAGAAATTTTTTTCAGTAGTCATAGAGGACTGTCTGCCTGTAATCCCTTCCTCATTAAAGCTATTACTCTCAATCGAAGTCATGATTCATGTCACAGTAGTTTTACTTAAAGCTTGTTAGCTGGAGGCACTGAGAAACTAAAGAAAGGCTGCCACACAGGCAAACCAGGGCCTGACTCTGAAAAACTGGATAAAATAAACCTTCCGGTAACCTCAGGAATTAATACCGAAGGACAATATTTACATAATGATGCTGTAAGGAAGCCTAGCTCTTGCTGGAGAGCAAATGTACTGAATAAAAGTGTACTTAAACAGTTAGTGGGCAGTGTTTGACTTATTGACTTTCCAAAGCGCTCTCATGCATTTCCAAATACGTTCTTTCCTGTTCGTCCCTTTATCCAACATCCCTAAATATTCAAACTTCGCCCTAAAGGGAGGTGTCAGGGGAACATGAAATTAAGTGATTAATAGGTTCATACTTTTTATTCATAACTTTAAATTCTCTGGACTTCAAAATCAAGCTTCCAAATAATTATTCTCCACACCCACACAATTTAACTAAAAAGGTTGACAGAAACATCAAGGCAAACATAATGTAAGCCTCGTTTAGAAGTTTTACGGTGTACTAATATCTATTAAAACCAGCCAATTTTGCGTAATGTTAAGTAAAATACATTTTCTAATCAGTTCTGAACTGCATTGCTGTAATATATTCTTGTTCATGATACATTTAGGAGCAAGGCAGTGTTGTGAATGGTGATAAACCAATGGTGTGAATGAGACCCCCTTGAACACGAGGTGATACACCTCAAGGAGCTTATCCTAATAAAATAAATTTTCATTCTATAACGTGCAAGTTTCTGGAAGCATTACAATAATCAAGGCAATTCAAAAGTTAATTCTCGTCATATGTTCACTGCAAATCAGCTCGAGCGTAACACTCAACATTGAAAAGTGAAACTGGCCTGAATGGGAAACACAACTCTCAACAAGACAGATAAAAAAATAAAGAAAGACAACAACTAACAAAACAACAACAAAATAAAGTCAAAAGTAACAATTGAGTGTTTTCATTCATTAAATTACATCAGTTTATAATCATGTTCTAGCTTATATCAGTGTTTATCTACTGGGCTCATGAGCCACATAATTCCAGACCATAATAGTGAGCGCCACTCGTATCAGAGAAACAGAATCACCGTTCTCAATCACAAGTGCATCTTCAAGTGAACACCCACTGTTCAGACAGTAACAGACCACATCTCTAAGGAAGGAAGCTACCTTGGTGTTGTTGCAGGAGAGTGCCATCTTGATATACCTGTAGTGGACTAGCAGAAGACACAGCTACCAAGGGTTTCCTTTCTTCACAGCGACCTTCCATTTCAATTGTTGTCTTCTTAGTGTCCGTCCAAGAAAATAAAAGGTCCTTTTCAGATAGTGTGCAGTCTTTTTTTGCTCTCATTTTTTTTTCTGTAGTGTAGTTAAGTTCACATTACAAAAAATAAAAAGCATCTGAAATGCAAGCTAAAAACTGGATAATCTCATCTGTAACACAGGATATGCAATTGCTAAATGCCCATAATATGGAGACACACACGGGGCAGTGGGGGGGATGTAACGACCACAGGAGGCCAGGGGGTGCAATGTACTGTGTATGAAGAGGGGGAGATATGAGGGGATTTGTTGTCTTAGTGGAAATGTTTTGACATATAAATATACAGAATCTGATATTTATAGTATTTGCGCAAGAGTCAGCTAACTACATATGTGTTTAATGAACAAATAAATTAGCATATTTAACCTGAATGTGAAACTGTATGAATGCAGTGCTACACCAGAGGGGATATTTGTCTTTCTTTATGTGCTATGCATCACACTTGTTACATAAAATAATCTGTTTGTGAACCCCCCCCCCCCCTCCCTGGCCTGGCTGCTAATAGTGAAGGAGAGATGATATCATGGTTTTGTAGATGACAACAGGTTGGTGAACCAGGTTGCAGGTGATGATGAGAGGTGTTTCTTTTCTTCTGTGTGTTTCTCTCCATCAGGGAGGAGGAACTGAGTGGAAGCAACAGAAGTGGGAGATCCCAGAGACGGCGCCAAGCCGGCGCTTTCCCCGGAATCCTCTGGTGAGTCCAAGTGCCAGGAGCACTGGGGTTTGTAGCCCCCAGAGCTGGCGCCCTGAGGCTCTTGGAACGGCTCGGGTGAAGCTAAGTCAAAGCCATCATTGTGGGCTCTAGATTGCATCTGGGGCCGGTAACCCCCTCCTCCACCGCCACAGCTTACAGGCAGATCAGCCAGTGGGCGGTGGGTGTCAGAGGAGCCCTGTGGATCCAGCTGGAAGACCAAAGAAGACCCTGATGTCTGGATCCCTGTGTATGTCACATCGGTGCGTGCTGAATCCAAAGAGGATGCGGAGGAATCAGAGGAGTCTGGGAAACGTGGTCTGATTGGCCGCTCATCCACCACTTGGTTGTAGTAGCGTAGTGACGTTGGCTCGTCTGTATCAACTGGCTCCTCTCCTATCCCCTGGCCTTCTTCATCCTCGTCTTCTTCAGGAATGACCACAAGAGCTTCTTTACTGGAATCCCACTCAGGCCTTTCTACAATATGGACCATGCTGTGAGGAGATGACTTCACATCCAACGGCCCCTGTAGACACACAGAAGGGTTAAACACTGGCTCAATTTAAACAGGAGAAAACGTACTTATAGTGCTCCTACAAGGGATTATCAGGAAAGCACAACATAGGAAAAGGAGGATTACTTTTCATTATATAGCTTCAGCACACAATATGTTTATTCATTAGGCTGAGATTTGATGAAGATGAAACTGTACCTGAGACCTGGACCAATCACCAGGCAGCTTGGGCTCAGGTATGTCTGGGTAAAACGCCGTTTTCACCCTGGTTACAAAGTAAAATGTTATTAACATGATACAGTACATCATCATCACAGGTGGGACTAATTCAAATAATACTTTCAATACTTGTTGTAAAAGTATAGGGGATATTTAAAATTATTTGGTTACTTTTTACGATACTTTTTGAACATACACATAAAGAGAAACAAGGCAGAAAGAGGAGAAAAAAACCCACGCACCATTTCCTTTTCTTGTAGCAAATGTAGGTGACAATGACGAGGAATAAAGCTGTGACTCCCAGAGAAGCCAAGATTTCCAGGATCAGCCAATCAGCTGTCAGAACAAGACAGTAGAAGTATTAGAGACACTGGACTTTAAGCAAGGTGAATATTTTTTCTTTATTTTGAGTGTAAATTGCATGCCATAAAACTATACATTCACATACTGTATGGCTCCAGCGTTATGGAAGAAGTGGCGCCTGTGTCCTCGCCTGCCGAGGTGTACGACTTGACAGTGAACTTATAGTCCCCCTTAGAGAGACCTTTAATTGTGTAACTCCTGCTTCCTACGTCTGACAAGTTTGCTGTTTAAAAGGACAGGAAAGAGACACAGGAAGAAATAAAGAAGGACAAAAGAAGAGAAGAAGGGGGAACAATGAGGAGAAAACTGAGTTTCACAGGATGAAAAACATTTTTAAGAACATATCAATATAACATATCACCACATCGAATATCATTGAATAACTTGAGTTTTTTTTATTTTGTATTTGATCCTTTATAAAAACTCTCTTCTAACAGCTGTACTGTCACTTACCTAGAAGTGTGAGCTGGGGGCCATTACTCATGTAAACGTTGTAACCCAGGAGGAAGCCTCGAATGTCCACCAGCGGGATCTCTCCCCAGGTTAGGACAACATTGAAGTCCTGCTGGCTGGTTAACAGAGAGACAGAACTGGACGGGACTGATGGAGCCGCAAGGACGGAAGACATAACATGAGAGAACAAGAAGAAAAGAGCCAGCAATTAAAATGCAATGTAGGAACTCTGAGGTAATTTCTGTTTCTAAAAGAGTAAGCATTCCATCAGCAGTCCTGTGCTTACCCAGCTCCTGCATGTATCCCTGCCAGCGCTGCAGCAGCTCTGGGGCCTCCGAGGAGCAGCTGTACAGGGAGAAGTTGTATCTAACACCTGGCTTGAAGGAGGCTGGTGGAGAAGAATGAGATTATTAAGCATTACAAGATTTCAAACTTGAGAACCCTGTATTAGGTAGATTCTTAAGATTAAAGTAATGTTGTGTAATTGTAAAGGTAAAAAGACTGTCTTTGGCATAGAATAACAGGGGAACGAAGACTGTGGAGATTTTTAGTCTGATTTGCATCCAACTTCCCATTTAGTGTGTGAATATGCTAAAAGAAACATCTGCACAATTTCAATGTAAAGGCAGCATAAAGGCTGGCCTACCTGACTCGATGAAGACATTATTTAGTCCAGCAGACACCTTGATCCACTCCACGAGGCAGTTCTTTGAACAGAATGCATCAAACCATTCTACCACATAACCACAGGTGGCGTTGGCGTCGCCCTGCCAGTATAAAGGGAAACCTCTGTCTGTGTAAACTGCCCTCGAAAACAGAAAGGTGTTCAACATCTGGAAAGAAGAGAAAATGCATACAGCAATATAGAACCTGTAAGCCTTCATTTTGACCTATTCCAAGACCCCATATCCATGTTACACACAGATTCTGCATTTGACAATAAACATACTAACTCCTTTTTTCTTTCATGCCAGTTTTCCTCCATTTCCACTGACCTGTCAAATGTAGAGGTATGAGCACACTTGCAGGCTGAGATACCCCTTTGTTGTTCTTTGCAATGACTGTTGCTGTGACCTTGGTGTCAACGCTGAAAGCAGCGATCTGTGTGAGATTTATTGGTGCAGCAGACGTCTCTGCTGGAAAGATGTCTGTGTGCTGTATGTTTTCATCAGACGTCCAGAGAGTGACTTCATAACCTGTGATCTGACCGTGGCTTTGTCGTCGTGTCAGAGGCTGGAGGCATAGAAGTAAAAAAGGAGGAGGGTTTAAGAGAATAGGAAAGTCTGTTTCAAATCACTTTTACCTAACTGTTTCAGATTTATTTATGGTATGTTTTTATAACGAGGGAAACATCTTTAGGTCAAAAAGGAGTCCAAGGTTTGTACTTTAAACCTCTTGGTGGTGCTTATGAAGATGCAGTAAGGCTATTCTCCACAGAAAAAAAAATCGAATTATCCTAAATAATGTTTTGATATGTTTCAATCTAGAACATCTTCAGACAATAATTACCTTCCAAATGACCTGCCCAGTGTTGTCTTTGTTAATCCAGAACCACACATCAGGAACATCTGGAACTGAAAAGACAAAAAAAAAAATCAGTCATGAAAATTACTTCTTATTTCTGATGCCTTAATCTTACTACTGCTGCTATATGAAACTAACAATTGAATTAAAGACTGGTATCAACGAATGCAATCTTGATCATGAGAATTCATGACTGATGTTTACTGAAGAAGTGTGACAAGAACTTATTTGAGCCAGGTCATCTTGATTGTACAGGTGACTTACTTACATCATAATGAGAGGACCTCAAATAAGGATTTTTATATTTGCCAATGGAACTATTGTTATCAAATAGCCCCTGAAGGAGTCTGGTGTGACTCGGATCTGACTCAGGACAGATATCACATCTACATAGTAGGCAAATCACAAATCAGAGGTTATCTTATATTGGACAGGGTTAGGCATAGTTGAGGCACTTTTGGAATCCAAAATGGTTTATGAAATCATGATGTGAAAACTTCTATTGTGGCAGTATTACACAAACTGGTCCGTAGTTTATGTACTTAAGTGAGTGTTGAATACTAAATCATGTCGTACCTAATGTCTGGTGCTGTTTTGAACTAGAAGCCAATGACACTGGATAACGGCACTTGGGAAACAAAAATCTACAGAGAACTAAAATGTCAGGCATCTTATTTCTATAAATAAACTTTTGAAATAATTACTACTGAGCCTCTTAATGGACACAAGGGCTTCACAGTCGGGTTAAGAGAGATATTACTACTATATTTTTAACTAAAATACTTTCAAATCCTGAAACTAAGAAAATATAATATTTCATCTATACTTCGAAGTAGTCGTTATTTTCCAAAATTAGATTGTTAGAAAAGTTATTAAAATCAGATAAAGAAATTATGAAACATGATCTTATTTAGTTCCAGCAAATGTCACAAATTTAGACTTTATTTATTGTCCCAGAGGGAAATCAGCAAATCATTTTCTGCATTATTGTTGTTTTTAATAAGACCTTAGAATGTTGGACAGTTAATTTAAAAAAAAAACTAAATAAATTATAGACATAACCATTAATTTAAATGACACATAATCAATCAGACCACTGTTGTTTATTACAGTAATAACAGTACAGCCCTAGCTCATCAAACCGCTGGTATCCGGAAGATTCCACAAATAATTCCCTTACCATCAGTGTTAGTTTTGAAGGCTAATGGCTCGCTCCAGTTTCCCCACTTCCAGAAATTTTTCTGAGCACCACAGCGGACTTGGATACTGTAATCCTCATCAGGATAGAGGTCTGAAAGAACCACTGACCGCAGACCCACACCAGAGGAGGTACGCTGGAAACAAACATCCATACACACTTCATTACGGTTTGGTGCATTGATGGTCACCCAAATGGAGAAAACATACAGATGTCAAGCTTTTGACTGATGAAAGCAGTGTGTTTGTTCATGACAAACACACTGACACTTTGACAAGTTGTAATGGAAATGTGGTAATCTGACATAAACACAAACAGAAATGATTTAAGACAGACCAAGAAACCGAAAAATGCTCTGCTGACTGAGACAGAACAGACACACATACAGAGATCGCTCACCTTTGTTTTGGACTCTTGAGAGGTCAGCTCTACCTGGCAGACAAGAGCGAGGGAGGAATAACTCTCGTACTTCCACTGCCAAAGCACGGTGGCATTCCAGGCGTTCACGACTGTGGTAACGTTAGCTGGTGCTACTGGACGCACTGAGGAGGTGGGGTGACACAATAATTAGTAACATGAAGAGGCTGTTCAACGACCGCAGGCTTATTTCATGTCTATGTGTACTTCTACATGGAAATTGTGGTTGTAAGATTGTGTAGATTGTTTTTCTTGGTACGCATCAGTCGATTCAGTGAAGGCATGGGTGATATACCTACCTCTGTGTGTGAGTTCAGCAGAGTCAGAGAGGCTGTACTGGCCCAGAGGGTTAACAGCTACCAGAGTCCAGTTATCCTCCCACTTGTCTACGCTACACTCTTTCTGCTTCTGCTGCGGCTTGTCTTCAGGGCAACTCCTACAAACAACACATAAACATTTGCTAAGTGTGTGGAAATCAAATTATTTTGAAATAAAAAATATTATCATTCCAGTTTCTCCCTATAAACTAAAGATGCAGACACAAGTCCAATCATGTTCCTAATGTAACTTGTCCTCTTGTCAGCTTTCAGACAATTCCTGTAAAAGGTCTGGCAGAGAGCCAATACACTATTAATATTAAATGGACACACAGAAGCAGCAAGTGGTTACTTAGACTAAGTGCCCTTGACATTTTCTCTCTCTGGGTTGATTTTTCAGGGCGGAAAATATATTTTCAGAGAAAGTCAGGGGGGGAATCATAAATAATGCAGGAACATTGTGAACAAAACAACAAACAAAGTGATACAGTACCACATCCTGGCACATCTGTAAACTGCTGTGAATTTGTTCAAAGAAATCATCATTCTAACATCACCACCTCTCACCCAGACTGATATGAATATCTACTGAGGGTGTCTTTGCTTGTTCTTGTTTTAAGTGTTGGGTTCATGTCCATATCGCTGTAAACTTTTACTTTCCCAGGATGCAGGCCTGCGTGTGGTACCTAGTGTCTAAAAAAAAAAAAAAATGGTACGGGAGGTAGAGCTTTTAATCTCAGACTCTACTCCTTTGGAATCATCTACCAAGCAGGGTCCAGGAGGTGGACACCCTCTTCACTTAAAACTTCCCTTTCTGATGAAGCTTATAGTAAGGGCTGGCTCAGGCATGGACCAGCTCCCTAGGTTTGAAGCTATGGGCTTAGACTGCCAAGGTAACCGACACACTGAGCTCCTGTCTCTCTCTCTATCTGTATATATTCATATCATATTACTGAATGTCACTCACTTTAAATCTTCATGTCTCATTATTTACTACACATAAATCTTGCCGGGAGTTCTTGAGCTTCCATATCTGGTAGGTTTGGCTACATCTAACTGTATTAGACATCTTATTGAATACACCAGTGTGAATGTGGTACCTCATGTTCAGAGAGTACTGTGTTCTTCTTTGTTTGCCGTACAAGCGTGTGTCCCGACCTTCGTTCCACCTGCACACGGCTGAGGTTAAGTCACGAGTCTCGCACACAAGATCAGTGGGCAGCGGCGTTTCTGGGGGTGGGAGGTGTTGAAAAACAAGTAAAAACCTAGTAATCTTTTACATTCACACTTTATCATACACATTAAAACAATAAGTTACAGTTAAATGAATTAAGAGCACACTCAATCAACTTTCACATGCAGCTGTGTAACTGTTTCACCTAAGAGCCAGTAACTTCTTAAGCCGACCCCTTTAGTCTCCTATTTCCAACCACATTCATCCATCAGAAATGCACAAAAATTCCAATGTACTTGTACTGTCGTAGCTGTGCAAATGGCAATAAACATCTATTCTATTCTATCAGATACACAATCAAACACACATGACTTCTTCTGCATCTTGTTTGTCAGCGTACCTCCAACAAACACCACCGCTCCACAAATTTTGTCTTCAGATTGTCTGAACAAAAGACGTTGGTTCCAGTTCTGTCAGACGGTTCCTGATTGAGCGCTGTGATGGCGTAAGTTCGCCTGCTCAGCCGTATCGTGTTCATCACCATTACGCTGTAGTGGATGCTGCCAAAGACCATCCCCTCTTCCACGATACAACAGAAGGTGGTGTTGGCCCCCACAGGCACAATTCTGTCCTGGGGGTACATCTGGAATTTCTCATTGCTGGGGATATCGTTTCCTATAAAAAACAACCACAGAGAAAGAAGAAAGGAGATTTTAAAAAAAGATATAGGTAGAAATGTATCTCAGTCCCAAATATTTTGGTTTCCGGCAAAGTAGTATTCATCTTTCTGCTATCATTAATGCCCCTCTGACCTTGAAGTATCTGAGTGTCGCTCCATTCACTTGTTGTCTGTCCATCTCTTGAGCGGATCTTTATAGACAGGGAGGTACACTCTAGAGGTTCCACTGAGGTCCAGTTCCACTGGTGATGACCGCTCTCCTGATTTATTGTTGCAGACACAGTCTCCTAAAGGAAACACACAGACAGGGAATAAGTGAGGAATGAATCAGGAAAACATTAAACTGGTAAATTATTGTTCACGATTCAAGCAGGAAAAGAAACAGAAACTGTTTTTATCATCTGCATATTGTGTGACATAATGTGAAATTAAATACAGGATTACATCCAAAGGTACTGCAGAGAAGAATATACAAACATCAGGCACTTTTTTCTCATTGGAGATATATTGTTTTCATTGGATACGTCAGCCATAACACGATAAGACAACTGACCTGCCCAGTATATCTCTAGGTTCCAACTATTTATAACTATTATATCATTGGGCCTCACAAATATCTATATCTATAGTTCCACAAGTTTTTTCTGAAGTTGTTCTTAAGTAGATTTCTAAGAAGACTCTCTGTCAGATTCACAAACGTGTTCTTAAACGACAACATTTTCTCAGCTGTGTTCTTATCTCCTTGTGTTCATAAGTTGAAAGCGAGTGCACGTTGTTCCTAATTAGCATATGCAACCGCCCACTAGTGCCCATAAAAGGGCATGAGTGCAGGGCCCTGCAGACACAGGGGCCGTTTCGGAATAGCCACAGTTCAGTAGGCAGTACGTACTTTTCAGTATGGAGTTTCAGTATACTGAACTTTGGTGGTCATTCAGTATGCATTTTTTGGGTCCGCGCAGTGTACTTAACATTTCAGTATGGATACTAACTTCCGGGTTTTATGCAGTATGGATCGGATGCATCCTTTCAGGAAATGAATTGTATTTTACCACCCACAATGCTGTGCAAAATTCAACGTAAATCGTCACTTCACGTGCGCCTCCAAATCAAAACAAACGAGCATTGATTCATTTATCTTAATTTAAAGTCCCAACTGAAATCGCTACTTTTAGTTAACAACAAAAAAAATGTAACAAATGATTTAAATGCGTCTTTATCGGTTTGTTTTACTTTATATTCTGTATATTACTGTCTTTCATTCGTACTTCCCTTTATGTACTGTATGTTATTTACTTATTGTCTGATATTGTTTTTTGTTTACCTGACTGTATATGCGCATTACTCTTCTTGAATAAAGCTAAAGAAAAAAAAAACGGGTGAATGCGGCCGGTTCGGGTAACGTAAATGATGTCACTTCCTTACTGAATGAATCAGGCGAAGTAGGAACAAATATCTGCCTACTGTGCGCACCTACTGAATAGTAGGTACTTAACAGTATACAGCACGGATAGTACATACTGCATACTGCTTACTGACAGATTGAGTCGGCACTTGGCAATTCGGATGCACCCACATTCTGGTAGCAAAACATATATTACGGAATTCATTATCAAATATTATAATGTAAACCCTATAATATTATACAACTGTAGATTTAAACTTAATGCAATACACTGTTTATTCTGTTCTCACAAAAGAACAAATCCCACATAAGAACACATTGGTGAATCCCAGAATCTTCTTGAAGAAGGATTTACAGTTAGAACAAATATGTGTTTCAGACCAGTTGGTCAATGAGGCCCAATGTAAACAGCGCCCTCAGAAATTCTGTATCATTCAGGCTGTTTTTGTATAAGAATGAATTCTACAAATGAAAGTTATTGTACAAAAAGAAAAAAGCATGAGCACGTACATAGAAGGCAGTTTCATTGAGTTCAGTTCGTAGAATCATGAGGTCAAACGTTGTGGCTGCTCCTCCGAGCCAGGATATGGATAGTTGCTGTTTGTAAAGGTTTGGTGACAGGCTGACCTGCTGCGGTACAGGAAGGGCTGAAATGAAGATTGGACAAGATTTATTGACTTAAATTGAAAATGAAACAAAGAGCATACAAATCACAGTGTTGAGTTAGGGCTGGGTAATATAATGAATTGTTAAGATGTATCAATATAATTTCAAACAAGATATAGGGTAAGACAATTTCGTTAATATCGATATAGTTTATGGTGCATTAAAATAACGTTATAGAGCTGCCAGGTCACCTTTTTCTCATCTCATTGATGATGATGACTGACTGTCTGTCCCCCTTAACCCTGCTCCTCTCTCTCTCTCTTATTTTATTTAAGGAACATTTTTATTTTATGATATCATTTTTTTATTTCTTAAACAGGTAGTTTATTTTTTCATGTGTTTTCACTGTTAATAAAAGACATATCGATATATATCGAATATCACCATTCAGCTAAACAATATCCAGATATGAGTTTTGGTCCATATTGGTCCAGCCCTACGTTGAGTGTTAATGTAGATGAGTTCTTCTTACCATCTTTTGCATGAGTGTGTATAACTAAGAGGCCGAGCAGAACACAGAGAAGCCGAACAGGGTTAGATTTAAGCTTGAAGCTGTGACTGACACCTAGACGAGGCATGATGATCCACTAGCAGAGTCCCTCTGTTTGCAGATCCTTATGTGGTATGGCCCTCTACTGCAGTAACACTATGCTGGACATCCTGTGAGGCAAGACACAGACAGAGGGTGTCCTGAGGGGAAAAGAAAGCAGAACAGAGACACAATGGTTAATCAGGAATAATTACAATATGAATACTGCTAATTTAAGGCTCCGGAAAAATGAAAATAACACCTTAGCAACAAATAGATTTGTATCTAATTCTCCGTAATAAAGGATCTCTCAACGTTCTTTGAACCTCACAGCCTTTAAGCTGTAGTTGCAGTTTAATACAATGAAGGTGTTGTTGTGAAACGGTGAAGTTGAAGTGATGCCAACAAGTCCCTGGCCCAGAAATATTCTAGCATGCACATAATTTTTTATAAAATGTCTCTGGAGATTTGGCTAGTTTACTCTTGTTGCAGTAAGGTTTTATGGATGAGCAGCAATCCATTGCACCATTTTCAAATCTTGCAATGATTCCCTGCCAACTCAGCTGTGTTTGTGGAATAATTGCACGCCAAATCCAAACATACAGAACCACTGCCGGGTATAGCAATATTTGACATCGACACGAGAAAACAAGTCTTTCAGAGAGCTGTTTTCAGCTAAATGTTGAAACACAAAAGTTAGAAAAGTCATTATTTATCAGAGTCTTCCTTGTTGCTTATCCAGTCCACCTGCCTTCAACTTAACTTGTGTAGTTTTTGAATTCTCAAGGCCTAGTTTTGCTGTTGATTTAACTACCTTTTACTAGTACTGTGAAAATCCAGACGGATATCAGGCAGACAGAGACAATTAAGCTGGAGACAAATACAGCTGTGGGTCTATCTTATGTAAGAGGCTTGGAACTGCCCTTGATTTCGTTAGGTGCATTACAAAGAACCCGTTTTACCAGAGGAGTGTACTACGAAAGGGGATTAATGGGTTAGGCAGGCAGTTGGCGTCTACAGCCAGAGTTTTCAACGTGGTGAAGGTGGCTCTCTTTTTTAATCTGGCCTGATTCAAGCAGGAACCAGCAGGTTTGCTAAACACGAAACCAGCCCCAGTGATGGTTATATATTCACAGTCTCTGGTTTAAATCAGCTGCTATTTTTATTTTATTTTATAATTCCCTGAGGGCAAATATGGTTTACAGTCTGTTATTGAGAGACATGCTTCTCACACACATAGGCCCGAAATAAACACACATGCACAAGCGGGACCTGTGGACATGCATTAGTGGAGAGATGTCAGAGGGGGGCTGCTACACACTGCTATGCAGGGAGTGCAGCAGAGCTGTTGGGGATTCAGTGCCTTGCTCAAGGGCCCTCGGCAGAAGTGACCCGACACCTCTCCAGCTACCAGACCAACTTTCAGATTTTGGTCGGCATACAGACTTGAACTGGCGAACCTCCCGTTCTTGTATATACTGTATCAATTTCTACTTTCATCTAAAAGGTTGAACAGCCATAACATGCTCAACGGCTGTGACAGGAAGTCCACAACAACCTCGTGGACTTTTTACATGTTGTTCCTGACCATGTTTACTGTACCAATGTGATGGAACAAACATGTAAAGGGTCACAAAGTTGTTCCCTGAAGATTTGAAAGTATGCAGGTTAAATGTAACCGTGAACAAAAATAACAAGAGATGATAAACAGATTTTATTTCTGTTCTGATAATTGATTAATTAACAAAGTCTTCTTTTTTTTTTTAGACAAAATGAAAGACATACCAGAGGCAACAGCATCTTCAGTGACAAAGAGCTGAACAGTTTTAATCAACAGTCAGTCTGATAAAATCAGTAGATCAAAGACTCATGCTCATGCTTCAGGAGATTGAGACATTCATTTCTCACTACTTTCTGATGTTTGAAAGACCATAGGTCATAGGATAAAAAGCTAATTGAAGAATCCAAAAAAACAACAACATGCAATTGAGTATTATAAGAATGGATTAAAAAAAACAAATATTGATCACAGTTCACTAATGTAGTGGTGATACAAAAGCAGTAGATAAAGATACAACGTGTTTCAGATCGGCATCCTGAAAAGTCATCAGCTTAACTACAAAAACATCCAGATAGGGAACGCAAGGTCAAGGCTCCATCCGTGCTTAATGGGATTGTCGTTCTCTCTAAACAAAGAGAGACACATCTCAAAATTCCTGAATAAAGCACAAAAGGAGGTTTTGCAATCATTTAGTTAAGAGCTTTGGCCTCGATGAGCTTGTGTGTGCAAGTTCTTGTCTGTAACTAGAAGTTGTTTTTGTGCTTAAAGTGTCAACAGCACAGTGCAGAGAAGTTCATCTGGTTTCACTTGCATGCTGGGACAGGCCTTAGACGGATTGCTAGCTTGATAAAACAATGCTCTCAAATACAGACAAGCCTTTCATTGAAACAGTATTACCCAAACACATAATACACAAACAGACTACAAAAAGCCATTTCTAGAATCTAAACTGTCTGATACTGACCTGAAGCAGACAGTCAGACAGTTTGACCCCGATATACTCTAATCAGGTCAGTGTATTTGGTATGAAATATAAGGAAAACAGTATTTAATCTACATCTGGCAGAATGTGCAAATACTGTAGAATTTTACAAAAGAGTTTAGAGGAAGATTAGAAATACAGATATAGATGGATAATCTATCTTTTTATCCATTCATTTTAAAAGGCGCTCAAACATGACAATACAAGACATGAATACAACACAACCATGCTCCTAAATCCTGGCTGTCATTTTGCAATCCCTTACCGGATGATATACAGTTGTTGAGAGCAAAACACTCTGTTCGAGGTGCCAATAATGGAACATGAGGCTACACAAACAAATGCAAACTGATTCTAGAGAAGTGAGGCCTAAATACTGGGAAAGGAGGACAGGAACACCCCCCCCCCCCTACTTATTTAACTGCCCACTCAACATTTCATTCCAAACCTTTTAGTTTCCCTTTTATCTTCACTCTGGTGAAAGACCAGATGCAAATAGTGGAAAACTATCCAATGATTAAAAAAAAAAAAAGAAAAGAACGGAAATGATACAAATAATTATAGGTCAAATGAAAAGTTTTGGAAGAACTTTTAGCACCAGCAAACAAAAAGATTCAGGGAACATTTGTATGCTGAGTAGAGAGTTGTCCTTGAGATGATTCTGCAGCAGCAGTACAAGTATGACAGGAATGTCAAATTGTGAAAGTGATTTTGCAGCTGGCTCCTGAAGTGGATTGGTTTACAGATTTATAATGGAGCTTTTACCAAGGCATGGATGAACATAAAGTAGTCTATTGTACCCACAATCATATCATTAGCTGGGCATTTGTATGGTAGAATACTGCATTTGTATTCATTCTGCTGCTTAATTAAAGCAGATTAAACAACCTAACAAAACACAACACGGTCAAAACTTTACATTTGATGTTTCTAGTTTTACTGTGTGAAAAGGAAACTGGGGCTTTTTGTCAAGACAAATGTGTGCGGCCAATACTTTCCATAGTTTTTTAAAGACATCGAGTGTGTTCCTGGCCGTAAATATATCACCTCCAGATGAAATTCAGAGGCATTGCTCAACATAAATACAGCTGTTTGGAGTCTGTGTTTCACACACTGTGCCTGCACCAAAGGCTTCCTGGGCCTGTTACAAGCCTCTCCCCACATGAAAAGAGCTGTTATATGTTTTACTGGTCCAGGATTCTAAAGATTATTTTTCCAACTTTTGCACAAGGCTGAAACATTTTACAACCTCAAAATATATCCTCACAGCCAACTGAACCCTGGCAAAAAAAAAAAAAAAGTGCATTGATGGGAAGCGGGGGAAAAGCTGCAGATTCTGGGAAATGTAACCACGAAACTGATAGCCACAAATGCACACCAACACACAAATCAATACCTCTCTACTGGGCTCTGTTCCTTGTCCTTGCAGCAGTAATAAATATGACCACAAAATCAAAAACCCACAAAGATATTGTGACTTCAAAACCTAGTCCAAACCTATGTATGTTTACAGTTTTCATATTAAAGGAAGCTCACCTTAAGCCCTAAAATATAATATCCTGAATAAATTCTGTTAGCTTTCTTTCCCCATGCTGGACTTTGCCGCTGTTCTGTTTGACTATGCAGCTGAGTAAAGATTATAGGAAACTCCAGGTACTCACACACAAAATAAACTGTGCAGGACTAACCACCTTATAACGCAACCCTATTCCCAGAATTCAAATGTACTCAAGGGCCTCATTTGTTCCCTTGCCATTTCCAAGATATCCAAACATGAAATGGTACTCAAATAGCCATAGGAGCAAAAGTAAGTCACTATGTAACATTCCACTGTTAGTTGACTATCAATTCAGGGGTTGTGCAAGTTATAAAATATACGCAGTAACTGGAATATGCAAATTCATGTGTGTTAGCTTGGGCACTGCACACAAAAAAAGTTGGTCACCAAAGTAAAGCTGCTTCTCTAAAGAACGAGTGAGGTATGTTGTGTTTTAGATGATCTTGCCCTTGATTAATGGTTAGATAAATACAATTGATTTTTTGCTAAACCATGTTGCAACAGTATTGATGGTAAACATACTTATAAAGAGTACAGTTGCCAACTAAAAGTTTCGAACCAGATTTATTTTTTCATAGTTTTTTTCTGACGAGTTGTAGCCAGCAAATGTTTAGTTTGAATTTCCTTTTTTGTTGATTTACTGTCAAAAACAAATCTTCTCTTCAATGATCTAACGTTCTCAACACTAGTTTCAGTCTGAAAGATATCCTGAAGTATAAAGTGAGCTTCAACCAAAACCAGGACAAAAGTAAAAATGGAATGGAGCCAAAGCCAAAATAACTTCAAACTGCATGACACACAGCCAACAATCTTACTTACTGCACCTTACTATCGCAACCACATTTTTAAACAAAGATCAGATCCTCCAATGGTGTTTTCTTTTCTAAAAGTGTGTGGGATGGAAGCTGAAGCCAAGCCCAGGAAAAACTTGTCTGTTCTCAGCCTCCACTCTGCAACACTGTCATTACGCTGTCATACGATGACCACCACGACCAACGAAATAAGCACACAGTGCCTCTGGTATCCAGTATGAGAACGGTGACATTTTGAAACATGAGCTAAGTTTGCTGCTAATTATGTTTGACCTTTGAATGGGACCAGAGGAAGACCGGATGCAAGCCAGAGAAAAAGTGAAAAACAGAGCAAGTGTGTTAAATGTTGCTGCTCTGACCTCAGCAGAGAAGGGACATTCAGTTCTCTGTGTGTGTGTGTGTGTGTGTGTGTGTGTGTGTGTGTGTGTGTGTGTGTGTGTGTGTGTGTGTGTGTGTGTGTCTGTGTGTGTGTGTAGCTTTTGGACTTCAACCAAACATGGTTTCCTTCCTGCCTCTTTCAAATGTAAATGTTAGAAGCAACAGGATGAGAGTCAAACCATCACTTAAAGAATAACTATTTGCTCCAAGATGTTAGCGTCCAAGAACTGGATGAAAACATCCAGTAAAACAGCCGAATGATTGGTAATATTCCCTATATTACATATATATATTATATCCCTATATTATATTACATATGTCTCACATTGAGTGATACTGGGATGACAACTTGTAGAATGGACAGAAACCCGTTTAAATGCAATTTATCCTCTTATAGGGCTAGAGCAGAGTAATTTTCTGAGAACACTTGATACAGCACAGCACTGTGTGTGTGGGGGGGGGGGGTATATAAAGGTTAACAGTTATCTGATAAAAATCTATGCAAATGACTTATTTCTAATTTCCCCTGTACAGGTGGAAAAAACGTCACTGCATCAACGCTGAATAGGGGTGGGACAAAATACTGATTTGACAATATATCGTGATCCTGACTTGTGTAATCAAATTATTGATACGCTGGTCAAAGACATTGATATTTTAATTTAAAAGATATGGTACTCTAAACGCTCATGTCTTCTTGTAAAGAAAAGTGTTGGGGTTTTTTTACACTTAAGTTCTTTAATTTAATTTACAGATTCACAACAAAAACATTGTATCATCTCAGTTTTAGGGGCACTTAGTACACTTTTGTTGATCAGATTTTATAATGTATCATTATGCAATTGTCCTGCAATATATCAATAAACGCAGAACCATGCAGCTTGTATCTTATCATGAGCTACCCTGAGATAGCTGATCAATCTAAACCTTCTGCTGCTGATGCACTTTATACATTTTTTTTTTTACAAGTTTATAAAAGTGGACAACAACATACAACATAAATTGGTGATGGCATCAGTAAAACCAACCCCAAAGGTTCAGTTAACCAGGCTCCCTTCAATGCTTCAATCTGAGAGCAAAACAACCCTAATGATGAAATACACTTTACGTTGTCCCAGCTCAAAGTTTAAAGAATAATGTGGTTCTGCTCACTCAAAGTCCAATAATATGTTCATCAATATTGCAAAATAAATCGACATTTTACTCGGAATGTGTTCCTCCTGATAAAAAAGGTTACTAAAAGTAGATAACCAAAAAAAAGTGCATCATCTCAGGACGATGTGTGTAATTAGCATTAGCAACTGGGAGAGCAATAAGAGTACCGTTACAGGTCTTATGGTCAAAAAGGCGGCGAATATACATTAAACATGTAGCTGTCGTAATGAGGGACATTTAACCATGAGAGACAATGTACTTTTAAAGGAACAATTAGTTTAAATGTCGTTTTAATACACTCAGAAGCTAGCACCCATCATCATCATCACGCACGCAGTCAGGCCACCAATGTTTGGAAAAAACACTGCTAGCTACAAATAGCTGCCAACTACGAATTTACGTAAAACGTGGCTATAAAATCACGTATAACATGTAAAAATCAAATGTGTTACCTCCTATGTAGCGAGATATCCTTTTCCGTACGGTTCAGGCTGTTATTATATCCAATAAATCAGCTTTCTAAGTAACCTGCCCCGTGCTCGCAAGTGGACCATTCCCAATGAATCCAGAACAGGGTGGGATTACTGGAATAGTGAAACTCGAGGTTTGATTGACGGCTGGACTGACCAATGGCCACCGTCTAAATTGTCTTTCCACAGGAGAGAGGGCGTTGTCCTGCTGTGATGAAGGCGCACGGGAAAAACAGCATCGAAAACGTCACAACGCCCATCAAAGTAATAGTCAGGATTTAATTCACTACAACCTGATAAATGATGCATGAAGTAATCCCATTTGTAATAAAGCGATACCCCGCCTTCAAACGTCACACACTGTTTTGAAGACTTTGTTTTGGGAACCTAATTCACTTTTTAACTGGAATGTTCCATGCAAAAAAAAAATTTGGACAAATGTCATAAACCAAGTCTTTTTTACTACTTACTTTATTATTCAATAAATAATTGATTAATTACGTTTATAAGATCTATTCTATTCTATTCTATCTATTTTAATTATAAGTCTTTCCACAAGTGGAAATGCACATACCTGGTATTGGAATAGAATATAATTACTTTATTGATCCCAAAGTGGGAAATTGTGGCGTTACAGCAGCAGGTTATCCAACACACAATATGAGTAAAAAACACAATGTTAGCAAATCTAAACAGAATATAATATTAAATACAAAGTAAATAAATACTAAAAATATAAAAACTAAGAATGTAAATATATACAACCAGGATTTAACTAAGCATTACTAGTCTTAAATAAATACATATTATTCTATTTTGTGTATTTTTTCTCTGCCGTTATTTAACTGATGTACATATGTTTGAATTTTATTTTTATTTTTAATAAATTTATCCCTTTTTCCTGTTTTCTTGAGCTGCTGTAATACGAAAAGTTCCCCCATGGGGGATCAATAAAGTTTATCTTTATCTTTATCTTTATCTTCTATACTTGATGTGATGCACATGTTTTTTTTCTAAAGCATTTTTTATTATTTGGGAATCCTTTATGGTTCGGTATTATATATATTATTTTTACAGTCTATGGTTCGGTACTATATTGTCGAACTGTTTCAAACCACTAATTTGTATATTGCATCCCATACTTAATGATGCAGAACTGTTTTAATAGTATATTACCCTAATGTTTATGTGCTGTTGTGCCTGTCAAATACTGATAATTTCTCAAATGTACTCCCTTGCAGATAGAGGTAGGCCTAAACATTAATTATTAATCCTTCATTATTATTTTTTTGTCAGGTGTATGCTGTTCACGTAACTTGCAGAATCCAACAACTGCCTCTTTTGGTCTTTTATTTGGCGTTTTTCTTTTCTGTTTTAACTTCTTTTCTTCTTCTAGATTGTTTTTTTTTTTTTGCTGTTGTTTTGTTTTTTCTTTCTCTATTAATCTGTCATATCTTTTGTCTTTATGCTGCTGTTGCGACCACATTTTCCCTCCAGGAATCAATAAAGGCATACCCTATCAACAAATACCTTTATTGCGGGGTTTCATCATAGACTGTAAATATTACATATTTACATATTTATTTCATTCACTCTCTTCTGGATTGTCACATAACCTTCAGTTTCCCTCCACGTCGATAGGGGGCAGCAGGGTTCCGAGCGGAGTCATATAGACATCAGCGAGGGAGAGAAGGGGGCGGGGCGGCTTCTCTAGCACAACAGCGCCACTTTTAAGCGGTCGTTAATATTGCTAACAATAACACACCGCCGAAGTTGTTAGACAGTCGACAACGAACTCCAAAACAACACTGTAACGACGATAGAGCCGTCGGTACATGTATAAGGTAAATTAGATTCGCTTTGTTTTTCCAACATTGTGTTATTAGTCAATAAAGATAAGCTAAAAAAACAAACAACTGGAGTCACCACTATCCTTCAGTAGCAACGGTTGCTAGGAGCTTAGCTTGCTAACGCCCCTGCCGGTGACAGGAGAAGCGGTGCACGGAATAACTTAATTTCTGATTATTTTAACCAACATACCGTGATAATCCCTTAAGGTACCGTACTGTCAAAGGTTAGGTGTTACACGTGAATGTGTGACCCGGTCGATCTAGGAACACGGACTAGACTTAAAGCACCAGATGAGGTGTTAGCTCTGCATACTAAACCAGTCACTACCTGTCATCAGACAGAGCTATACAATGTTCATCATCATTTTCCCCCATTATAGTCAACCTCACCTATATGGGCTCAACATTTTTGATAACGGACGTAAAAGTATTTACCATTATGACCAAGAAATAGTCAAATGTCGCAGAATCTGCAAGGATATTTGCCCCAAAAATTACTAAAATTGGATTACTTGTGCATTAAGAACAGTGAAGTAAGAAGAAAATCTTAAGTAATACGAAAAGCAGAGGGTGTATGTCAAGAATCATGTATAGAAAACAGTAAATTACAAATTGATATGCTGGCAGAAATCCAGTATCTTTTACTGAGACAGCTGTTTTTATGAACACAAATCTTTATACCAGAAAAGTATTTAAGATCTCCTACCCCAAATAAGTTTGACCTATTTTGACTCTTAATGACTTTTTTAATCTGTGTGTGTTTGTAGGTCAAAGATGGTTCAAGACAGTGCTCAAATTCGTCGGCAGGGTCCCCAGGACTTTATGGCATACTATGAATTTGCCTGTGCCAGACAGGAATCTGTCCCACTTCCAGCAGTAAAGATGAACCTTGAGAAAGGGATTTTGGACTTTAGTGGAGACAGGGTCAAACTCACAGACTGGCCACCCATTCTCAACTCTATCTGCATCAACAAGCACCTGCACCACATTGCAATAAGTAGCACATACCAAGCAAGTCTGGGTTCTGGGGAAGCAGGTAAGGTTGAAAACAAACCTTTAACATCGAGTAACAGTTTGAAAAAAATAAAAATTCTAACATATAACCTCTGATCTAGAAACAAGTACAGGAACTTTCATCTCAATTTGAATAAATGCCAAATCTTGTCTCTTACCATTAATCACATCACTGCCTATTTTAGATAGAAGCTATTTAAAGTCTAACTTCAAGAAGAAGATCCCAGCCATTCGCTCTAAGGACATGACATTTAAGTTGTGCAAGGCCCTGAGAGATTGTCTGGGTATCTCTCCTAACCTCAAGACTCTGCATCTTAATGGACTTCCACTGAGAGAGAGGGACCTCATCACCTTAACAAAGGTATACAAAATTAAGAATATTATTATTTTATTTTGAATTTGATATTACTTGAAGCAATTTATAACGTGTTGATTAATAGCCCTGTCTATGTACCACGGTACTTACTGTAATTTTAGTGTAGTAAACATACGTACATTGCATGTACTGTACACATTGTTAAATCACAAGTTAATATTGATTCAGACAGCTGCTCTGTGAAAGAGTCTAACTTGGTTAAAAAATAAACAGTGAAAAAAACCCACATGTATTCTGATCCAGGGTTTGGCAAAAAGTGTTTCCCTGGAAATCTTGTCCTTGGCTAACTGTCCAATCGCTGATGAAGGCTTAGAAGGTATGTATATTCACAGTTTGATTTCCTCTTTGGACACAAGATTGAAGATTGAAGAGTGTCATCGTGTCTTTGCAAATCTTTTTTTTTTTGTATGTTTCAGTCATTTGCCAAAGTGTTAAGTATTCCACAAGCATTAGGACGGTAGATTTCACAGGATGCAATCTCACCTGGAGAGGGGCGGAGCATATGGCAAACATCATCAAGGTGTGTATATTAAGACTGTTGGTTTTTTTTTATGAGTTACAGACTCGTTCTTCAGATTATAATTAAGCCCTGATCTCATTCAAAGCTTATCTTTACATGGAAAATTCTGGTACTTGTGTAAAATGAAGATTGAAGAACTATATTTCTTAGCATCAGGGAATGCAGAGGCACGGTACTGCATGGTCAGAGTCTCTGAGGTACAGACAGCCACAGTTTGAAGGAATGAGAGGTCTCCGGCGAGTCACCTTAAACTGTAACACTTTGATTGGGGACCGAGGCGCTGCTGCTCTGGCAAAAGAACTAGCCGAGGACCTCTGGGTAAAAGGTGAGTTGGTGTATTGGCTTGAAGGAATTACAATGAGAAGTAGAAGTTCACTCAGGGTTTCTGTAACTATTTGTTTCTCTTTATGAACAGCTGTGGACCTAACAGAGGTGTGGTCTGTCCAATGAGGGAGCTCGTCGTTTGCTGGAATCCTTGAAAACAAATTCTTCTCTTGTGTTGTGGATATTCGAAGTAATCCTTTAGTGGGTAAGAAGTAACTCAGCCAAAGTCATCATATTTTAAAGATGCTTCTCACAATGCAAGGAAGTACTGCCTTTTAGGCAAAGTATCTAAAAGGCACTTTGTATTGTGGTTTTGATTTTTAAAAATGCAGTCTTTAGGGGCGGCTGGAGCATTGTTAGAATGTTATTTAGCTGTGTCCTAATGAATGTTTTTTTTAGGCAAGTCTTCATGCAATTACTGTGTAATACTCTGTATTTACTTTGGTAATGTTATTGTTCAGAAACATCTCTGAAAACAAAAGATACCGTACAAAAATCTCTGCAAAGCTTTTATGTCAATAATTGTTTATTTTTGTTTAACAGACAAAGTCCTCATTAAAACTGTAATCGAGAAAGTGCTGATGAATGCTGGACAGTCACAAGAGGTGAGTGTCTGCAACTTATGTGATCAAATACAGTCTTAGAAAAACTCACTGAAATTAAAAGTTAATACATGATTTACCTGCATGCTTCATATTTGTTACAAATCCATAATCTCCTGTAGTACTGCTGGATCAAGCCTGCAACCACAGAGCCACAGAGAGTGTCTTGTCCAAGGAGGCGTTCACTGCCAATTACGGTCAGAAGAAAAGCTACAGTACGGATTGGTACGTGTATAGATTTGATAGATTTTTTTCACACAGTCTTACATTAAACATGAGTACCTGTCTATATGTTTAACTGTTCAACTCAGTCTCCCTGTGCAGACAAAACATACTATATTTTAGTATAAAGGCATAGTTGAAATACAGATTCCAAACCTTTTATCCTTTGCATCCCTTTGAATCTATATGAGATAGTGTCCTTACTATGATCACACACTTATACTGTCTCTTTTTGACTTCTCACCGTTTGGCTTTTAAGTCATCCTGAGAACTGGTAAGAACTGAATTCATTTTAATCTTTCTCATTTTTTGGAAGTTGTTATGGAAATATTTCAGTGAGAATATGAATAAAGACCCAAGACCCAATCATTGTTGTGAGGCATTATTCTTGCATTATTCTCCTTCTTGCAAGAAGTTGCAAGAAGGAGTGACTGCACAGAGTGTATCATGGTGATCAGTCTGCAGAGAAACTCAAATGAGAGAGACACTGAAGACTCCTTTTATACATGTCAAGCAGGAAGGAACAATATTGACAAGCTCTGTTGTAGGAGATAAGCAGTTTAACACAATCAACCTAAACAGAAGAAGAGACAGATGTCTATGCAGTAACATCCTTGTAGAGATCAAAGGTCATGCAAAAACAAGATGTTTATAGGCCAGTTTAACTTAAAACGGCATTCCTTGAAATGTCAACAGTTCACAACATAATTATTATTAGTTTTTTTAGATTTATTTTTGTGCTTTTTGTGCCTTTAATGTAGAGATATAACAGTGGATAGAGTTGGAAATCAGGGAGAGAGAGAGTGGGGAATGACATGCAGGAAAGGAGCCACACCTGGGCCGCCCGCTTGGCCTCCATACATGGGGCGCACTCACTAACCATTGCAACACCAGCGCCCCACAACAGAATTATTTTAACACATAAACAAAATAAATTTTTCCCATAACAAAGTCCAGCCAGCTCTGATGACTGGTGCTGAAGGAAACCTACGAATGATCTTTAAGTGCTTGATATAGTTTGAAAGTTTCTACTTGTAAACAACAATGTTAACAACAGTTAACAACTTTCTTTTTTTTTTTTTTGACTAGAGCCTTTCTTTAGACATGAAACACCTTGTGGACACACAGTTTCTCAATGTCTTATTACCTGTAATTAATGCATTTAATATCTTATAGTACCCCATTTGTGTCCTATATGGCCATTATTAGCAATATCACAGAAACTGAATTATTCACTCACAACTTTGAAGGCCTTTGCCGTAAAAGTTCCTAGAACACCCCATACTTTGTCTTAGAGGTCTCTACGTGTGAATGAATCTTTTAAATGGTTTTCTTCCTGTTGCAGCCCCTTCGTAAAGGAACGTCTGCTGGAGGACGCCAGTTCCGGCGTTACTCAGACACGCTCTCGCTATTGGTATGGTGCTGCTCTGCACGAGCTGAGCGCCAGAGGTGAGGAGATTGTTAGTTCATAAGATAACAATTTTCCCATCTCTTATTGGAAGACATTCTATTATTAGAAGATTCAACCAAATTATCAGATTAAAATATCATTGTTATTGGTGATTTGTTGGATATTTTGGTGATTGGCTTGTGGCGTTACTGTTTCGGATCACTTGTTACAGAGGTATGCCTCCTGGAGTTAGTGTGATGGATCAAAGCTTTCAGGTGAGTTTTAGTCTGCTTAGTTTGGTCTTTACAGACGTGCATTGTATGGATTGGAAGAACAGTCACATTTGCAAATAAGGATTTTATTTCAAAGGCTAATGTCATCTTTTTCTGGGAAAAAAAGGGTGCAGCTACAGTGAAGGTTACTATGGAGTCAAATTCAGAGGAAGAAGAAGAAGATGAAGAAGAAAAGTGGTCGAGCAGAAAACATCTTCTCCTGGTCTCCGAGACAGACTTACTGGGCGGGAGTTTACATGTGTGCAGGTCAGTTACATCTGTCTTATTTCTCAAACGAGAACCCTTTAAGTTTTTGCAAACAGGAACAAGAAAAGGTTTTGGACTTACTCAGCTTAGATTTACTGAATATGAATATGCTTTGTAATTGTATTGTGTATGTGCTGTTGTGCATGCCCTGCAGATGGAGCTAAAAGAGTGTCGCCTGAGGCTGGCAGAGGAGCGCAGGGCCAGGCTAAAAGCTGAGTCAAGGCTCATGGAGGTCAGGATCATCTCAAAGATA